CAGCTAAACCCGGGCTATCGATATGGATTGCATTGATAACAGTGTAACAATGTATACAGTATAGATTTATTTTAAAAAGTCATCTTCAAAGTACATATAAATAAAAAATAAATGCCTCCTAGTATCGTTTAGAACATTAATTTAGGTCGATGGTTATCCGCGTCACAGCTGTTGAGCTCCCGTTAGAAAATCCAATAAATAAATTTAATACGAAGGCCATTCGGATATATGTTAGCCGCTAGTCCTCCAAACAGTGTAAGAAAGCACTAATGATTACTCGTGAAAACATCATTGTAAGTCGGCGTTGGTCCTTTTAATGTTAAAAAAGTAGAAAAATACCGGCACGGGTAAGATCACACAAAAAAGTCGTGACGCATCAGAGACGAAGACATGAAATGAATTTTAAACAGTCAGAATGCTGCGGATGTATGTAGATCAGTCTGAGAGAAGCGCTTTTAAAAATGCTATCGTACTTAAACCATAAAGGTAGAATGTCATTCCTGCACAAGTCTTCGTAAAATAGACAGAGGGTATGTTCGATAAATTATTGACCATTCATATAAAAATTCGAGCACATACGCAGACTCATAGGCTGAGTTTATACACAATCCATGACTTTTAGGCTTAATTTAACGTCTCAACTCTGTGTTCACACACTATTGCAGCCTCATCTGACATTGGTTTCCTCGACTCCGAATAAGAAAAGCAGACATTCGACAGGGTCGCATGTAAAGTATCGGAAACAGATTCTTGATGACTAGAATATTTTACACCTCGTTCGCTCACCGTGAGTTTATGTGCAATGGTCTACCTAATGAATAGTATTAAAATTACAGTAAATCGTAAGAAGTATTTAGCTTTGGTTTACAGCACTCTACGATATGATTTTCCTATTACGAGATAAAATGTATCGGTAGAAGCAATTCCTTTTGATAGCATCGCGTGTAAGCAGTGTATTTATAATAAATCAACTATATATTAATTGGTAAAAATATCATGAGCCTTTTGGACCGAACTCTAGAAAAAGACCAGTATCGATAGCTGCCTGCGTCATGCTTAATAATAACTTCTGAAAAATATTAAAAGCCCCCTTCTTTGAAGGTATCGTGGTAAGTTAATAATAATCACGAGATTATGCGACAAGTAAATGCACTACTTACAATGAATGCAATTCTTTAGCGGTAGTATCGGCAATATAATACAAAATTGTTATGCGTCTGCTTTCCATAAATTATTATTAACTCTAACTCATTTACGCGTTCATACATGAATGCGTTTATTAGTACATATATTTAGGTCACTGCAAATATATGTACCGTGTAAATCATGCATGTATGTACACGCTCGCACGCTATGCTAATGTGTTACAGAAGCAACGAAAAGACGAATGAAAAATATGTATCGGGCCTGTAGTGATTTATAATTAACAGAAAATAACATATAAACACCTGCCTATGTAAGTCTGTTTTTGGCAGTAGAAGGCTCTAATGTAAAAAACGTTACAAATTACACAAAAACAAACAAAATAAAAAAAGGACTAATTTAAAAATAAAACACTTATATACTTCAATCGATCTACTAAAAAATGAACAACAGTGCGGACAGTTCTTTTCGGTGGATCTGTAACACTATCGTAATTATAAATTTAAGGAAAATAATGCCACGCATAAGTAATTCGCTAAATATGCTGTCAACTTTTAAGAAGCAAACTTCAACAAGATTTAGCGAATTTGAAGATAGCTATAAATATCTTCCTCGAATTGCATCCCGATCCGGTGAAAGATGCCTATGTTGAATAAACAGTTGGAGCATTCCATCTGAGATTTATCGTTAAAACTATGAGAAACAAGCTTGGATGTAATTAAAAATGACAGCGAGACATGGTTCGTCAGATCGGAGCACAACGAAAGCTTCTCTTATGCTACATTATGTACATCTACCAAGCATTAACAATGCCTTGTCAATCAATTAATTCGTACGTTTCTTCGTAATCCAGTGCTCTTCGGTTACATATTTTCAAATCTCACCCAGCTTCCGTTTCAACAGAAACGCAAGGGGGGACATCTCGGTACATGTCATTTGTCATGCAAACTTGAAAACATATGGCACATTTGTCCTAATATGGTTCCTAGTTTAGACTATTTAAATATAAAAAATACCGTGTTCGTAGGCAGGGAAATATTTGCTCGTGGCGATTGCCTACTCTGAGATTCGAATGTTCTTTCATACTTTTTCAGGTTAGGAAAGTTATGGACGCGTAGGTACTCAATGTAAATTGATGGCATTAGATTCAAAACATTAAGCTAATCGGTGACAACTAGCAGGTTTTTATCTCGCTGCATTCGATAACGCTTCCTTGTGAGGATCACTTTCGTACAAACTTTGTAAGGCTACGGATTCCACGTTTTCATATAAAAAATCCTCTTCTACGTCCTTCGAACAAATAAAATCTTCGCAATAAATTATTGCGCTCAATGATGTGTTTCCACTGCGACTTGAAACCTATCGTTTCCTTGACACATACTTGAGTGATCAGATGTAGCCTTTCACGTTATTATTTATAATTCACGAGTTAATTTTATAAATACACCACCGTAAATCTTTTCATTAAAGAGCCACTAACCTTACCATTAATAAAAATCAAACGTTAGACCTATTCTTTTGATGTTAATATTTTGCGTTAAATGTTAGCTCGAGAAGGTTATACTTTCTGTTAGCAAGGAAAAGATAAAAAGATAATATATGATATTTTACAGCCTTCCATATACTTTACATCTCATATGTAACAGTGAATCATTCAAATTCCAGACAATAATCATCCTCCGGTCAACTTATTCTTTGTTGTGCATTGTCTATGGTAAAACGAGTTGTGTTCCCTAACCTCCAAGAAAACCAGCATCCCCTACGCAGCATGGAACGGTACCCACAAAAATTCAGAAAATATCTTTACAAAATTTGTGCGTTTACATTAATTCCGCAATCAATTTTTCTTAGAAACAGTTTTTGTATTGAACGATCATCATCTAGAATTTGAGGCCAAGAGGCTCACGACGCTGATTTGATTTTTTCATTGCTATGGCACTGGTTACTTATGATAATGCAACATTTTAAAGCTTCTAGCCTCAAGAAAGATATGATTAGAAAAAACAACGAAAGGTGTTGTTTCCATAAGGCAAAGTTGCACTCTAGTAAAAAAACATTTGCAAATCTAATCTGCGATTTTAAGACTTACTACTGAGTGTTACTAATTCACAATTACATCACAATGTATCAACGAAGTAAGCTGACGAATTTTTTGCAAAAAACAGGAGCAATTCATGATATTAAAAACTCAAGTCTGTAAGCTTTTAAAAAACATTCGGTACCACATAAAAACTCCTATCCTCACATCCTTGCAATACTTAAGTTCCTATTGGTATCGGTGTTACCGTAGACACGAAGTAACTACGGCTATTTGATAATTCCTTATGTCAAAATACAAGACTCTGCTACGTTCTTTCACCGTCAATTTTACAAATTCAGTCTTACTGGATTCGTGGTATTGGAGCATAACCTCCACTGCATATTATGTCTAAACTTTCACATTCTGTTAGTATTTAAAGCTTATATCATTTAATCCGGGAAGTAATACCTTGTACTTTAGCTGACACGAGGTCGACTTCGGCTGCCGAAGTGACTTTCAAAACTAGACTTTCTGAACTTGTGAAATCAACTGTGAATCATTGGCTCACGTACGAACCTAGCTTCGTCGAATGGCCGACATACTCGTTTTTTTCCTATATTACTTCCTTTAGAGCCAGAGTAACCATTCGCGTTTACAATACGCTGCATCTCCTTTGCCGGCGTTTTTGGGGCTCCGGTCGAAGAACGGCACGTACTGCTTCGTCAAAGACTTGCTTTAACCCACGTTGAGTGAGAGCAGAACATTCCATGTATTTAACTGCTCGTATCTGAAAAACATAATACATTGTTGTATAGTAAAAAATAAATTAAACATAGATGGACTCCGCAAGATGGATTCTCACCTTATTAGCCAATTTCTGCCCTTGTTCCCGTTTAATGGCACTAAGTCCTTGTTCGGCCAACGCAGTGAGGGTCTCTCGGTCGTCTCGCAAATCAATTTTAGTACCAACAAGGATCATCGGCGCATCAGGACAGTGATGCTTAATTTCAGGATACCATTTACTGGTAACATTCTCAAAGGACGAAGGACTGGTTACGGAGAAACAAATGAGGAACACATCTGTCTGTGGATACGATAAAGGCCGCAACCTATCGTAATCCTCTTGACCGGCGGTATCCCAAAGGCCGAGACTTACTGGAATTCCATCTACTACCATAGGTGCGGAATAATTATCAAACCTGTAAAAAAAACTCATGCTTAGCACATGTTCTATTTACAGTCTTGTGAACGAAACGAAGACAAGTGCATCTCTGAAGATTAGAGAAGAAAAAGACAAGATGAAACAGATGATCGCTGGATTCCTTCCCACGGCAAAGAGCTTCTGAACTTGTATTATCGTTAGTTACTTCAATAAATGAGTCGAGAAAGATTTTCCTCATTTTACTTACACAGTAGGCACATATTCTCCAGGGAAACTATCCGTCGTATAAGAAATTAACATGCACGTCTTCCCAACGGTTCCATCGCCGACCACGACGCACTTAATCGGTCTGCCTGAACTCATCGTAGCGGTATTAAGCCAAAGGGCATTAATTCCTTAAAACCTAAAACCAAAATACCACAAATGTAGTACGATTAACGAGGTGTTTACAGTGTTCACGGTACTGATGCATCGACTCCTTCAAAGTCACATGGTTCTCTGGAAAAAATACCTCGAAGTTCTAGCTAATCAAGCCTGTAAACCTGTGGAAACTGTGTTAAACATGCAAGAATTAGAAGTGAGGAAATTCGATACGTCATTCAGCGGTTCGAAGGACGTCTAATCGTTCACATTCGGTCGTATGACCGGTTCACAAATCTGGGAAAAGGACTCGCCCCTCCGCGGGAAACGTATCGTCGATCTTCTGTAAGAAACTCAAAAACTCACCGAACGGGACGCTAACTTACCGGAGGAGTGACGGCGATTTCTTGCGAAATAATTATGCGTTCTGTACACCTCGCGACAATTTTTTTCGCGAATCCACGCCTCTTCAGCGAATAATGAGAACGGGTGCCATGACGGTGTATCGCGTTATGATGTGTATTGTGCGCTATCCAGCGGTATCCAAGAGTGGAACCAGAACGGACGTAGCCCCCGCTTGGTGACAGATGTTCGACAATCGCTCTTTCCCCTACGGTTCCCCTTCCGTGGAACTCGTCTGCACTTGTCGATGTCCGGCGTCAAAATAACGTTTCCACCGATCTACAGTTTACATCAATACGATTTTAGCAGGGTTGGGTAATTTTATTATTTTCAACGTTTTTGACCAGAGATGGCTCATCTCTGTACTTACCCAACCCAGGATTTTAGACGGGTTTACATGAAAAAAACACTAGATGCCAACATCACTGCTAGATAAGTACACGTACTGTATGCGCCACCTGTATAAAATAGTGAAACCAAATGCACGTTATGTAACATAACCTTACAAAGATGAATAACCCGCGAAAATTAAAATCGATAAAATCAATCAATGAAATGTTTATTTTTTGGTTAAATGCATTTAATGATAACATGGAAAACATAAAAAGTTAAAATTTGATCTTTCTCTTGAAATTAGTAAATGTTAAGTTTTGTATACATTTTGCGTAATTAGAATTATGTGGAGTAAGTTAACGGTTACAGCTCCACATGTCTCTCCATGATCTTCGACTCGATGGTCATGTGAAGTTTTTCCACTGTTCTTGCGTGTTTTTTTATATGCTGTTGAGCTGTTGAGTTATCCATGTCGTAAGATTTTCCTTTCCTAACGGCTTCTAACGCTGCTTCTGTATGGAGATGTCGAAGCTTCAGTAATCTAGACTCGTAGTGTTGCAGCTCCTCCTTCAAATATAAAATTAGCTTGTTTATGTATGATTGTAATTAATCGTAGAAACTTAATAATTAGAAACATATGTTTAACCAATCGATATTACTTTCAATGATGCAAGTTCATCCACAGAAAAATTAGCTGCAGTTGCTATTCTCCATAGTCCCTGAACTTTCGGTTCCACAAATTCTTTGTGATTTGGACCTTTTGCAGTCATTCTATCCAGGTGATCGAATCCACTCTTAACTTCGATATTTTTTTCCCTATAGCAAAAATATGCAGTAAAGTCCGTGAACAAAAATTGAATAAACATTGAGATGAGGTTAAGAGTACCATTGAAAATTGATATACCTGAGTAGATTTGCCTTTGCTACAAAATCCACTTTTTTTCCAGGAATTTCATTGGTTTCTTCTGCTTCTTCTAACATGTTCCAACTCTCTGGTTTCAAATGAATACTATCTAAAAAAAAAAAATTGTTTTATAACGAGACATAAGAATTAATTTTAGGGAAGCTTTCTGTCATTACTTTCATCGTTATCTGTATCTCCAGCTTCTACATCACTCAGCAGACTCATGTATTCATCCACCTTCTGCTGGTGATGATTAAATTCTTCCTTCAAAGCTTCCAGCTCCTCATCTGCGAGTCATAAATTTATGACGCTTCTAATAATTGTAACAAATAGTTAATTTCAAAAGTAGTCCATACGTGTAAATCCAGCCATTTCTGCCTTTGCCCAAAGTTTATTTAATCTCTTGTCTTTGAAGACATCTTTGGCCACATAATTGCTTCCATCGTTAAGAGCTTTATGCCTTTTCAGCAACTCGGGATTATCCATTTCTCCAAAATGTTCTAACAAACCGTATGTACTCATAATTCCTAAAATTAAATTGAGACTTTGTGAAGTGTTTATATTAAAACAAATTTAATAAGCAACACAAGAATATACCGATCAGTTTCCTCCTCATTCTTGCTTCCATGAGACCGTCAGGATCTTTTCCATCGGCCTTAGCATGTTTGAATGCAAGTTCCTCTTTATCGTGAATTTTAAGATCGCTGAAGATCGACTGTAGCTTGGGATCGGTTAAACGCTAGAAAATGCAAACATTCTCTTATATTAAACATACAAGTATTATTACAAAATTATAATTTAGTTTACTTACGTGTTTAGCTTTTATCCATAATAAATTTAATTTGGCCATTCGAAAAGGCTTGTCGAGCTCCCTCAAAGAGCCAGGAAGTCCTACGAAGTCACTTTTTGGCACATTAGCCTCCTTAGAGTATTTATTCTCCCCATCGCAAATGTTAATTAGAAAAAGGATACAAAAAGCAAGAAACATAACTCCGCGCATTGTTGAGAGTGACACACTAATTACGGTGATTACGGTTGCCTATTTTAATAATTTTTCAGCATTAATTACAGTAGCTGGAGAGACGAGCCACGTAACGGGAATTTCTGCTGACCAGAGGAGTTGAGTGCAGTCAAGAAATGAACCGAAATGAACGTATGTATATATTTACGTGAACGATTGTTTACATAACCTAGCAGAATTCTTTTATGACGTTTTCATGACGAATCTCGTCGCTTCATCGAAACGAGACTTAATATAATGGAGCATTATTCACAATCGATAAGGCAGAATTTCTGTCGTTATCTTCGTAGCTGGCGATCAGAGCCCGCTAACGTCCTCGGTGATAAGAAATTCAGTTCGACGTCGCTCAGCCTATTCCGACACACCTTGTGTCAAATCGAAGCGGAGTACGTGCCCGGCGTTTTTAAAATCGGAGGTTAATTAAGGTACCCAGGAGCTTCGACAGTCTCTTCACGTTTCGCTTTCACCTTTAAGGACCTCATCGGTAAATTTTCTTTTCTAGGCGGGGCGGCTACGTCGCGCAATTTTGAATGATAGTTATCTGCTATGGCGACTACCGCGGGCGACAGGAAGCCGACGGTTATCATTTTAGGAGGTATGACACTGTATGACACTTGCTACATTCAACTGTTAAGCGACCTTGCGTTTTAACTGTGATAACGAAGTCTTTTTGTTTCGCTGCAGGATGTGGATTTATAGGGCGTAACCTGGTGGAGTACCTGCTGAGTAATGACCTTGTTTCGTACTTACGAGTGGTTGATAAAGTACCACCGCAGACAGCATGGCTCAACGAAAGGCATAAGGAATTGTTTGAGCATCCGCTGCTTGAATTTAAAAGTGCCAATTTAATTAATACAGGTAACGCAGTGTCAACGAAGGTCGCGAATGGAAATATGTTCAAAAATTGTATTGTATTTTTGTAGCTGGACTAAGTTTGATGTTTTTTAAACAGTCTCAATCTTTGCAGCATCTTGTCAGAGTGCTTTCGAATCCGATGATGTTATCGATTATGTGTTCAACTGCGCTGGTGAGACAAAATGTGCACAAACCGATCCTGTTTATAAGGAAGGAATTCATAAATTGAGTATGAATAGTGCTCAGCATGCTGCTCAGCTTGGCGTTAAACGCTATGTAGAGATTTCGGCGGGCAATCTCAGCTCTTCCGAAAAGGTATTTCTGGTTGAAGTAAAAGATGTTTTATTACCGCGCTTTGTTTTTAAAACAAAATATTCCAATTTGTTCATAGGCGCCACATAAAGAAGACGATGCTTGCGATCCATGGACGTTTATAGCGAAGTATAAACTTCAAGTGGAACACGATCTGAAGGAAATTCCAGGATTAAAGTTCACTGTACTGAGACCAGCTATCATTTATGGTCCTGGGGACAGAAATGGCTTAGGTATTCCTTTACGTTCATCTTGGTTTGATATCCGTTGCACCACAGAAGCGTAATATTCCTGTTCTGGAAAAAGCAACCATTAATTAAGAGTGCTACGTTCCACAGCACCACGTTTGGTGGTCGGGGCAGTTTACAAGCACATTGGTGAGATGATGAAGCTGCTCTGGGGCCCAGACCTTCGCATGAACACCGTACATGTAAGGGACGTAGCCAGAGCAATTTGGCACGTTTCCACCAGACCCGAGACAATTGGCCAAACGTACAATGTAGTTGACGAAGGTGATTCCACTCAAGGGTCGATTAGCGCCATTGTGTCGGAATTGTTTAATATAAACCACGATTACTGGGGCAATACATTATCAACACTAGCAAAAGTAACCTCTATCGATACTCAATTTCTGTAGTTATCGATTGCGCAATGTCATATCACTTCGGAAGGTGTACAATGTTTAATTTATTCTTTGTAGACCGACATGAGCACTGTCGTTGAGGAGGTAAACGACAAGCACATGGGGCCATGGGCGGAAGCATGCAGTAAAGACGGAGTGGAAAACAGCCCTTTGTCTCCGTACATCGATCAAGAGCTGCTGTACAAAAAGCACTTGTACTTGCAGCCTGGAAAACTGACATCAACGACTGGATTCACGTACTTATACCCGAAAATTACTAAAGAAGCTCTCAAAGAGGTAAACTATTAAACTTACATTACTCTCTAAACTCCTCGTGGCCTTAACTGCATTTCGCGCCAAGTGCATACACACCTACATGTCCAGTATCAATCGTACATACATTAATATCTAAAAATGAATCATTCCACCCAGGTATTAGATGATTACGTGGAAATGAAGATATTCCCACATTCCTTGGTACTGTGATCATCGGTGACCAGCACCGATAGCCAGTGAAGCATCACAAGCAAAAGACTCCTTTTAGCAAACAAGCTATTATTCTCCAAAGCAAGTTCTCACCTTGTGCCTATATCGTTTATGATAGAATATATATAATTATATATATACGTGCGTGTATATATATATACATATATACACTTTGTTAAGCGGCCAATGCCAATGCGCGCACCGAAGGATCGAAAAATGACGGCTTTACCATGGCAGGTGGAAAGTAGGAATGCCTACGATAGACCCAACTGCCCCATGTGATAAAACGTAGCAATGTACTTAATTTTAATTCTAACCTGAGTTTCAGGTTCGATTGGTCGATTTACGCAGAGCGCTAGTCATTGCATTCTATCGTGTTGCGATTAGAAATGAGAGAGGTTTTCCTTCACTAGGGATTTCGTAGCGAGAGCACCTTGAGAGGTTAGGAAACCTGCGATAATTCGTAGTTCACGAATAGAGACTCTTCCGAGCGTAGAAGCGACCATGGAGGGCCTAGAACGAAAAGTCGACTAGCTGAAGCAAAATCCGTACACGAGGGACGATTTCCCTCGCCCTTTTCTACGAGCGATTAACGGAATCGGTTCTCGACTTCCGCGTCCACAATTGTTCCGGTATTTCTTCGCAGATTCAAGGCCGCAATGCTTGCGATTATCTAGCCGGTAGGCGCGGAAGTGATAACGCGTTCGGTCAAGTACAAATAGTATTAACATACGAACGAAATTTACTCATTCCTGACTTGCGCCGCGACGAACGTTTTCACGTAGACTTTAAGGTGACATAAAAGTATTATATGTACATACGGAAACGTCAAAAATATTTATAAAACTTTTCTCCAAACAGGGTGTATCGAATAACTTGAAACTTCAGCATGTGATTATGGAGGCCCTAAAGAAGAACGCGACGCTCATGAAATTGCATTAAAAAAAAAAAAATAAATAAATAAAAAAGAATTTGTTATGTATCCCAGACTAGAACCAAGGATACATACTTTTGTTTGAAAAATGGGATTTTACGAGCACCGCGTTCTTCTTTAGGACCTCCATAATCACGTGTTAATGTTTCCAACGATTCGGTGCACCCAGTTTGGCGAAAAGTTTTATAAATATTTTCAGGTTTTGCGTATACAGAAAAGGGCCTTTTCGTGTCACCTTAAGTCTAGCTATAATTTTTACCCCAACGAGGTCAAGCCTAAAGAAAATATACAAGGCGAATCGAATGCAGATCGATCACTCGTTAAAGCACACATTGTTAACATTCCGGCAATTCGATACGATAGAATAATCAGGTGCAGACAACTTTTACGCTTACCGAGCGAATATTACCGTATTGTATAATCTATTATTATTATTACAACAATAAAGAAGCCTCAGAATTAACTCAGCCTTTTGATTATGATTTTATAAGCAGGATCGAGAAAGTTCCAACTGCGCAGGGAAAAATCATCATCGGTGGTCCAATGTCTTCGTGCGCTGCCTTAACTTTATTGAATCGTCGTTACAACAATACGCTGCGTTCAAGAAGGGCCAACAATATCATTAAACATCTTGTGTACCGCGTTAATTTTAATACCTTTAAAACAATAAGGTCTATAATTTCATCGTTATTTAATTATATGTAATATATTAAAATATATACCTTTAATTTGTTTATCCGCATAATATATATAATATATATATATATATGTATGTATGTATATAAATGTATGTACAATCGTGGGCAAAGAGTATTTACAAAGTAACTGCACCTTAAAATCGGCATTTCCTTAAAATCGTTCGGACACGATGATTATTCGGTAAAGAATGATAAAATATTTTAAGGGTCCGCGACGGGTTAACGAGTAAAAGGAAAAAATACTATGTGGACGTCGCGGCCATTCCGCGGCGGAAAATAAAAGGAGAGATGAAGTAAAACAGGGAGGGGAGGAAGGACGAAAATGGAACAATGCTTTCTCTAACGCGGTTCGTAAAAAAAAAAAAAAAATGGAAAAAATAAATAAATAAAGAATAAAGAAAAAAACTGCAAATCCGTGTCGGTCGAATCCGAGCAGGCGAGAGGAGTCCCTGGCGGGAATGGTACTCTGTGAGGTAAACGGTGTAAATCTAAAAGTAATCGTTATCTAGTAGGTACTGAGGAGTTAAGTTATTTAACGTTAAGTAATAATCGGCTCGCTTGTTCAAAGAGCGATCGCTATGGAGGTATATTCATTCGACTAGAGTCGCCGTACAATACAAATAAGTCGTCCAGAGCCCAAAGAGACTATCTCCGTATATCGGTCACCGCGAGATGCAATAATCGATTGATAACCGCCGATTAATATTAATTAATATTCGTTGATTGGTATTCAAGGATTAAGATTCATTAATGTAATGAAAAAAAATTGTGAAAGGAACAGCCTTCTAATACCGAAGAAAAAAAAAAAAGGGAAAGTCAGCCTCCTCGAGCAAACGCAAAATCGAGAAGCATCCCAGTTGATTTTTAATACTTCTGAACAATACAAAGAGCCATCTGCATAAACGAGGACTAAGAGAGGAGAACCGCGAGGTAGGCTTATGTCGGAAAAATCGCATAACCCATGTACTTTGAAATACTGTTATCGATAACAATCTAACCGTGCCCAGCACGGACGGAACTATGGTTAAAGTCGCTCTGGATATATACATATATATTTTTGCAACGACAAAAAGCAATGCAGCTTCCACGCGATCCGAACTATCGTATTAATAAAATGAGCTCCCCTAGGAGAAAGGGAGAGAAACGAAAATGTATAGAAACGGAGTTAGTCACTCTGCCTCGTGAACGACGGAAATAATACTTATGTTCGTCGGGATATGCGCCCGACAGGTCGGAGGCTTGGTTGTCAAAATCAGCTGATTTTGACAGGAGCTCTGAGAGGACAGAAGATGGAGAAAAGAAAAGAAAAAAAAAAACAGAAATAGAAGAAACTCCTGCGGAGAAAGAATCTGCGGACATTCTTACACTCGGAATAGAAGTTTGCTGAGGGCTGAGAATTTCCTGGCCGCATGGGACCCGAGACAAGGATATTTTAAAATTGATAAAATTGATAAAATTGAATTTCTCTCCGGCTAAAAGTGCTTCATGGGGTCCCGATTTTTTAATCGTCTCCAGAATGCGGCATGGCGACCCTACACTCGTTTTTCTACACAAGTCTCGGAAACGAGACGCGTCGCTATTTTTTTTTTTTTCCCAGCCAATCGGAAATTACAAAAGTGCAATCGGCTCGCAACAGCTGTCTCGTTTATCTCTCGCTCCCTTTAACATAAAACATCCCATTTCGAGGGATCTTTATTCGATTGAACCCTCTACATTCGCTTTTACAACGTTAAACGATCGTTGCGACACGCGGGAAAGATTCTGCGCGTGCGCGGACACGAAGAGTCCGAAAAAAAAAAAAACGTATCCAAAGTGTTAAAGTTCGAGTCCGAGTGTACAGAAACGCAGATACGAACGGTAAAATTATTATTCATTTCGGTATACATCGTGGAAGAATCGCCGAGCTAGCGAGAAGTGCGAGTAAATACGTTAAACGCGAACACCGGGAAAAAGGAACTGCCACTTGACCGAAGAAATATTTTCTCAATTCAGTGAATAATTATCTGCCCGAAATTGAGCTCAAATAAATAGGATGCAACGTCTCTTCGGAATGACGACAATTTATCTGACCTAGAGTCAAATAATTATCCATTGAATTAACAGACGTCTCTTTGGTACTGTTCAAAGAGACACTTCTTTGGTACCATGGATTCCTTTTCTCGGTGAATAAGCGTCAGAGAGAGAAAAAAAGGAGAAGAAGAAGAGGAGAGAAAAAAAAAAATTAAATCCGAGACAATCCGCCGGTGGAATGTGCAGGCGTTTATACAGTGCATCTCCTGATAAGTGATACAGTCTAGTCCTTAGATCGATTAAACGGAATCGGGACAGAGATACGGAATTACGAAGTTTCCCAGGAACGAGAAGTACAAAGTCTGCTGCCTCGGCAAACGGCAAAACAAGGGAACGCGGTACGCAGATATGTGAAAAATCGCAAAAGGGAGGCATCGGCATCCTCCGAGAGTCTGTATCAAAATGCAAAGAACGAGGCAATTCAGTCTGTAAATAGCGGACTCGTTTCAGGCCAAAGAAATCCGAAATTCTCTCTTCCACATTCGGAGAAGAGAACCAAAAAAAAAAAAAAGAAGAAAAATATCCATCCTTCGATTTCCTCAATTTGAAAATTAAAGAGTGACAAAACGAGTCCGACAAGTGTTGGCTTAGCACCCTGTTTAAAAATCCCTCGAGAAGGTGTATCGCAAAAAGAAAAAAAGAAAAGAAAAGAAAAGAAAAAAGAAAAAGAAACATACCCATGGATTCTAAAACACCCCAACGAGCGACGTTAAATATTAAATTCGCCATTCGTAGCGTATCGTTAGCGATCGAGGCATTTCTTAAATCCCCGCCATCTCTCGAGGAACGTGGAAAATAATAAATTCTGTAAAGAGTAAAAGTGTCGCCAGCGTGCCCCCCCTTCTCCGGGTAGAGAGGGGGGGGGAGTGGTGGTGATGAGGAATAAGTCTTAAGTATGAAGCCCTTAAAAAATCCATCTCGAGAAACCATGGTTATTGCAAAAGCCACTCGGGAGTTCCTCGTCGACGTTTCGCTGAGATTCTAGTGTAACGTTATAAGAGATACTAACGGCGTTATAATACATAGATACGGCAGGATCGAATACGATAATAAGCCTCTCACTTCCCCGGGTGATACGACCCGCGAGGTCGTCCCCGTTATCCTAATACTAATTCGGCCATTCTCCATATCTTCTTTCCTCTACCTCGTCCGTCCTCGGTACTCTTGATAGGTCGCTAAGTGGAATGTACGCGTCCACCCTCGAGGAAAGGTGGAGCCTCCCGGCCTCGAGCCGTCGTATCACCGAGGGAAGGAGGTCCTAGACGGTTTCTCAATTAATGCGTGCAATAGACTATCGTCGGATTTCGTCGCGTGCTCGTTAACAGCTAGATTATTGCATAATCCAGTATGGTAGTGTAGTATCTAAAGCGCGTTCACTCTCGAATGTACGAAGTAATAAATAACAATTAATGGAGGTACGGTAATAACATCGACATGCCTACGTCTCACTCTAAACGATATAACTTAGTCTATCAGGTACTGCGTTGGGTTTCTCTGTCATGGTAACATGCACCAGTCTGGTACGCGAAGGTGTGTGTGTGTATGTACGTGTGTGTGAACATTTTCTTTCTTTCTTTCGTTTATGTGGATTCTATGGGTTGTATGGAGTTGCGGGTGTATCTGGGCTCTCTCTCTGGGTGATTATAGAGCGTCTTTTGGGTACGCGCGAACGGTCGTGTCGATTAACGTGCCGAATTCAAATGGGAGATGACAGTCACCGGGTCGAAACGAGAAGGGGAAAAAAAAATCCCCCGAAAAAAATAAAACGCGGCTCAACGTCCCGCGAATCAGGTGCGACCGTCAGTTACAGGTGGTCCTCGCGTTTACGAGTTAATTCCCGAACCCGGCGAATCTCTTCTAATTGAGAATTTCACGAATTCGCCGGGCAAGAGTTAAAATAAGCATTCCGATCGGAAGCGAAATTTGCCGAGATTTCGGGAATTTTTTCTCTTTTCTTTTTATATCGCGCCAGGTACGATTTAACGTCATTCCGCGCCCGAAAGGAAATTCGCAATGAAGATTGCTTAAATCTCGCCGGGTAGGATTTAAAAATAATCATTCCAATCAAAGGAATCCGTAGGATCTCTTCCATACGATTTAGAATAATAATTCCGAACGAGAGAAAATCCGCGACGCGCGATTTAAAATGAGAATCCTGATAGAGAAAGAAGAATTCGCAAAGATGAAGATTACTTATATCTCGGCGGGTAGGATTTAAAATATAATCATTCCAATCAAAGGAATCCGTAGGATTTCCTGTACATGATTTAGAAAAATAATTCCGACCGAGAGAGAATCCGCGATTTAAAAAGAGAATTCCGACCGGGAGAGGGGAAAAAAAGTCAAAGGTAAAAGTGTCTAATGTTAGCTTTAGAATAAAAGGAATTCGCGAGGTTTAAATATTCATTAAGCGAGGGACCTTCCCTGACCGAGTCGTTCCCATGACCCGCGCAACATTCGGCGCCCTTTTGACCTACGTTTAAAAGTAATAGCTACGATCAACAAGTGGAAATCTTAAGAGCAAGGAGAAAATAAAAGAAAAGTAAAAAAACAAGGGAGGAAAAACCAAGATAGGAGACGATACTGATTCCAAAGCTAATAAAACCTCTAACGACCAAAACTACGCGGAAACGGATCTGCCTAGAAGCCGAAGATCGGGACATGAACGCCAGATAACGAGATAAATGCATTCCCAACGACCGTTTAGAAATGACCGAAATTATTGCTCATTCTCTCCGTAAATCTCCCAGAAAGTCGTGTCAGAGATCCGAGGAAGAAATCCGTGTCCCGGTGCATCAGCTTCGCAGGGGGTCCTTCCCGTCGAGTTCCGTCCTAACTCGAAACCTAGGACGCTCGTCCTGAAAACCGCGACATAATCGCCACTAAACTTAATATATATATGCATATATAAATATATAAACACATATATATATATATTAAAAAAGAAAAAACAGTAAAAAAAAGAATTACATCTACTTCTCTTAGCGCACAGCATCCGATTGGAGTCTAGGCTCCAATCGTCGAATAGCTTCGGTCTACTCGGTGGTGAATAGGGAACGTGTAACCGGGTCTTTGTCTTGGGACAAGGATCGGATTTTCCGTGGAATGCGTCGCGTAAAACAGCGCCGTAGAAATGAACGGACTTGCGAAACTGAATGCGGCCATCGGGGCGCGGGAAATCCCACGAGGGAATTTTCCGCGCGTCGAGTCGCGTCCCGTAAGAACGAAAACAGAAGGAATGTGCATGAACCTCTTACTCTCGTATCTCTACGCTTTTTCAATACCACTCTCTTTCTCGTTCTCTCTCTAGACAGTGGGATGCTCGTATGAACATATTCACAATTAACAACTATAGTATGTACAGTAATAATAGATTTTTCGCGTCTATCTCCGTCATTCCGGTATTTCGCCCGGGCGTGAGCAATGTCTAAAAGGTGGAGGTCGAGGAAAATGGCGTGCGAAAACGGCCCGAATCACCGTGGGAAAATAATTATTGCTCAGCTTGCGACGAGACAATCGTCCATCTAGACGCATTCGCGGTTAACGCAGCTCTGCGTCGTTTTAAGGCCTTCAACCTGAACCGGCAACTTGATTCTGCGTCGTTAAGGTGTTATTAAAGGGTCATTTTATGTATATATAACATTTATATAAAACTTTTCCCCAAACTAGGTTCACTTAATCACATGAAACATCCACACGTGATTATGGAGGCTCTAAGGAAGAACGCGATGCTCATGAAATTTCATTTTTCAAACAAGAAAAAAAAATTGCGCATCAATTATTCTAGTCTGGGATAAGCGCAAAAAAAAATCTTATTTGTTGTAAAATTAAATTTCCCGAACATCGCATTCTTCATTAGGGCCTCGATCATCACGTGGCGAAGTACCGAATAACTGGATGCACCCAAGTTGGCGATAAGTTTTAAAAATATTTTAACGCTTTATATATATATATATATAAAATAACGCCTTCATGTCACCTTAAGAACCTTGCGCCCTCCACTCATAGGCGTGAAAAAACTGTACGCGGCTTCCCCTAAAATCGCCGGCTACAAGTACGTCAGTCAGCCCACCTACCAAAGACACGTACAGCAAGCATTTACTGCTTATTTAATACTTGGTGGAAGTAATACACCCAGGAATTCATGTATGTCCCACACAACTAGGCATTTGTTTCAATAAATGCCTCTAATGGCAAAGTGAATACCGCATACATGTTGTATGCGACCTCGGTGTACAGAACTGACTTACATACCCACGCGGTGGGCTTGAGTTTCTTTCTCTTTTTATCCAAGAACATAACTATTAAAAAAAAAAATCCTGGTGCTAGTTCGAGCCACTTTCACGCCTCCTCTCGTGTAGCCACATGTAACGGTGTCATCCGAGGTCGGTCCCCGGGTCTACGGTGAGACCGTCGGTTACGTAAAGGTAAACACCTACGAGACATCGATTAACGCTACTTACGTTCGCCGGAAGCTAAGCCGCACGTGACGTGACGTGACGTATCGGATTAGGTACGGATTCGCCCAGGTGGAGGCAAAATCAGGGTGCATGCGCAGGATCGCCCGCACCTGACCTATTCTACGATTCGCAGCGACCTCTCTATGTCACCTGGCGAAGGGCCGACGCCCGTGCTCCAGGTCTTGAGCCTGACTCCTTACCACACGGCCTTGAAATAATCGGCCGAGGTCGACCAACACCTTCCTCGAGTGGCAAAGTACCACGACGTGCCCGCCGACAGACGGCATCCCCGGGAGGCTTTCATCCATTGGGGCCCAAGACCGGCACGGACGTGGAGGTCGCCTTCTGGGGGGAGGTGTCAGCTTCCGCGCAAGCCAGATTATTATTTAGACTGCTGCAGCTGTTGGTACTACCACCGGCACTGCTCGAAGTGCAGTTGAGCATGGTCTGCTGCGTGCTGTCCAGGTCGCGACCGGACGCCTGGTGGATGGAGGTGGCGCTGTTCTTTCTTTTGTACTGTAAAAGAGTGATGTCAATTATGTACTGTAAAAGAGCCATATCAATTATCTACCAGTACGCACGATAAAAGGATTCCTGGGAGAGACACGGGACCCTTACCTCTGGGTTTCCCGTGATACGGAGATCCTTGGTTTCACCGTTTAAGTCCCATGGCGTCAGCAGGGGCTCCTTCGCGCATGCCTCCAGGATGCCGTTGGAATGCCCGCCCTGGGGATTTACATTGCCTGAGTATAGAATAAGGAAGTGATCTCTGAGTCGCGTGGAGAAGCCGTCCATACCTTGGTGTCGGGGTGTGGATTCGTGGTGATAGGAGATGACGGGCAGAGAACGGCGAGCTCGATCTCGTTGCAGACGGTCGTCGGGTTGGCGTGTTGACTCACCGAGGTGGAGGACCGGTCGATGCAGCAACCGTTCCCGTTCCTCATAAGAATGCGATCCTTGAGCGGCTGGGCACTGTCCCCGAGGGATTGGGAATTCTCGCATTTCTTCCTGCAGTAGATGCTGCACAGGCAGATCATGATACAGCCAATGCTGATGCTGACGCCCAGTATCACCCCTGAGAAGTGGAAATGATTAATTAAAATTATTTGCCTACTCTTCAGGTACTACCTGGCCATTATCTGGATATACATAAATCCAAGATCTATCATCTACAGCGGAAGATACCCACTTCGCCAGCTACACGCACCTAAGCTCTGATCCGGCTTGAACTTCTGCGGCGGTTTCTGCTTGTCCGACGTGGTAGGTCCTTTGGATGCCCCGCTACCTCCGTTAACGCCACCACCTCCACCTCCACCTCCACCGGTAATTATGATGATGGGATCCGACGGTTTACCGAAACCGGCCTTGGTAGCCGCCTGCACCACGACGAAGTAACGCTTTCCCGGCACCAAACCCGGGAGGTTCGCGGAGGTCTTGTTCCCGGGGACGGTCACGTTCCCCCAGGTCGACATAGCCTCGGCCAGGTTCATCGTGTAAGCCACTAAGTAATTTTGTATGATGCCGTTCAACTTGTTTGGTTCCTTCCACGCGATTCGAACATTTGTACTATTACTCAAGAACCATTGTACTTCCTCGACCTTCCCAGGAACTGAAAGAGAACAAAGACTCGTCAGTTCTCCCATTTTCCTCGCGTCTCATCGACTTAAGGTTCCATGAAAGGATCATTCTATAAGGTATTCCACTATTCCACCCAGTTTGGAGAAGTTTTATAAATATTTTGGACGTTTCGATATGTTACTATCATAACACCTTAATCAAAATAAACATATCTACTACTAACTGTCTTCATTTGTGTAACATTCTATGGTCTCGCTGAACGGACTACTTTGGTTGGTGCCATTGTGAAGTGCCCTGACTTTGAACTGGTACAAGGTGAACGGTCTCAACCTGTCGATGGTCACCTTCGTCTCGTCACTGCAAAAAAAAAAAAAAAATTAACAATTGTCAGTCGAGAATATTCTAACAAGCGGACAGAAAAATTAATAACCTCGTACTTACACCACGATACACTCCGACAGGTCGGATTCCACGCCGTGAACGATGCAGTAACAAATCTCGTAGGAATCGATGTCATACACGTCGCTCAGACTCCAGGTGACGTTTATGGACGTCGCCGAAACAGGAATAGCCTCTAAAGCAGTCGGTAAGTAGTCTGCGGAGAAGATTCCGTAATCTATTATCTCCATCCTCGAAACTGACCATTTTCTCAGGACGCTACTTACTGGAATTGATTCGCGTCGACTCGACTCGCCTCAGGATGCAGCCGAGAGCTTTTCCGTCACTGACCATGCACACGCCGACCGAGTACGAATTATTACTCCCTAGAAATGACAACAATAAATGACAACAATGAATGATCAACCAATCATCTCGGATAAATATCACCGATTGATCGTAAATATTGCTACAACTCACCAAGTTCAGTGAACGTGTATTCCGACAAGTTCCTCGGCAACAAGACGGTTGACATCCTCCTCTCGTCTTCGTTTTCGTAGTACACTTGCCAGGAGTCGAATTCCGGCTCCGCCTGGCCACTTGTCATCTCGTCCACTTTCCAGCGTACCTGGAGACGTCAAGATTTAACGTGAGAAAGAGCCGCACTCGCTCGATAGGGTAGGATTCCCTCGACGTACCTTCACGGTTGAAGCATTCACTCTCAACAAATCAACGGTGACGACGTTCTGGACGGTGAACGGGGTCGTCTCAAAGGATGGCATCGTCACGCTGGTCCAGCTGAACTGCGACTCGCTGACGTTCGGCCATCCTTGTTCGGTCCTTGCCAAGACGCGAAGGTCGTACCTTGCTCCAGGAATCAGATCTAAAATTTATAAGTTTTAACTGGAGCGTTAAACAATAAATTTTAACTGAAGCGTTAATTTTTCCCGATATCACCAGATAAATCGAGATTAAACACGGCAAGTACCAGTGAGAACGTAATGCTCTATGCTGGCCGGAAGATACAAGACCCTGGACGACGGATGTTCGTGAAGCCTCCACTGCAACTTGTACTCGACGACGACGCCCCGAGCCTCGTTCTTACTCAGCGGCGTCCAAGAAACGTGCAGCTTGGTGCTGCCGACGACTTCCAGGGCGACTTTCGGAGCGGTCTTAGGAACTGTAAGTCGAGGAGATAAATCGGTAGGAACGATTCTCCAGGACTCTCGGGAAAATAAATACCATACTAACCACTAGGAGCGGTGGAACAGACGATGGTGGCCGACTGATCGCTAGCTCCATGGTTGTTCCAGACTCTAACATAGAAGGAGTAGTTGGTAAACGGTTCTAAAAGTTTCGTCACCTCTACCGACGTCGAGTTTCCCGGCTCGGGTGGAGACACCTCTTCCTTGCCGCCGTCTGATAGGAGGAAATAAATTAGGATACAAGAATTGGAAGAGCGGCATCCCCGTTGGGTGATTATCCCGGCCAAGGTTATCGCTCCTTACCCACGGGGCTGTAATGGACCGTGTACGCCGTAATACTGGCAGACGGCAGAGATTTCGGTGGTTCCCAGGATATAAAGATTCTAACGGGCGACAGAGCGTGGCACTTCAATGACGTAGACGTGGCCGGGCTGTTCCTGGATGTGTTAACTTGTAGCCGTCCAGCGGCCCAAACCTCTCCGGCTGCGTTTACCGCCATGCATTGATAAATCCCCGAGTCGGACGGGACCGTCGCCGAGATCGCCAATTCTATCTTGTTATACTCCTTCACGTAGGTCGTCCTTCGCCCTGAAAAGTCGATCGCCGCGATTAAACCGAGTCCTTGCGTAACTCCGATAGAAAGTGGCGCGGGACTCTTACCATTAACCGTGATATTCTCGGAGTCCTTTAGCCAATAAATCCGAGGAACCGGCTTTCCTTGAGCCTGGCACTCGAATCGCGCCGTTCTTCCGTTGGGACATATCTGGTTCGCTGGCTTTTTGAGAAACGAGGGGGGAACTAGCACGTCCACGGTGATATTCTGAAAATTGATGAGTTGGAAAAAATAAGATGCAAAACTGCGAAGGCAAAAATATGATACAAGATAGCTCTCGAACTTCGCCAATGTCGCTTCAAAGTCGACCACTCAGGGGAAATTCGAAAAGTTGACTCACCTGAATCTCAGGGTCAGCGTTCGGGGAGTTCTTGGTGGAGCATAAATAGACGCCAGCATCGTGGACGCTCACGTTTCTCAACGTGAGAACTCCGATGCCGTTGGTGGAATTAAGAAGAACGCGAGGCTGCCCAAGGTTGGTCTTATCTGAAAAATGTATGCCTGTAATTTAATCGCTTCCTGCCGTATCGAGTTTTACACAAAGACGGAATGGGAGGATGCTTAGTCCACGAAACAGAAGTAAATATTTTGTTTCCTTTAGACGTCACAGAGAAGATATCGAAATAATGCGGGAATCATAGACGCCGCTCGTCTTCGGGTTTTATCGAACAGTGCAAAGCGGCACGACAGGTAGATTTACCTGCATAGCGAGGAATAAATGCCCAGGTAATTAAAGGGGATGGATAACCAGAAGCGGCACACGTGAGGCTGATATCGGATCCATTATTTAACCAATGGCTGTATGAAACTTGTGGAAACAACAAAGCAGGTACATGCGACTCCTTCCCTTCAGGCCTTGAAATGACCGTCAACTTTGCCTCTTTGCTTTTTTTGGTCTTTTTTAAAAATTCATTGGTCACTATGCATCTGGAAGCGACGACAGATTAGTGATGTTCCCAAATGTTTATTGTATATTATGAAATTACCACACTCGTTACCTGTATGAACCAGCATCAGAAAGTTTCGTTGCACTTATATACAGAACACCAGGTGCTACCAGAGAATATCTGCATAAAAAAAAAACGAAGGTTATAATCGTACATTACCTCCATAAATATCTCAAATGCATGGTATCTTACTTTGTATCGTTTTGACCGGAAAGAACAATCTCCCCATTATGCTGCCAAGTAATATTGGGTGGGAAAGGAACACTGTAAATGAGACATGACAGTCTCGCGACTTCACCTTCGTGGACCGTCAAGTCTTCGGGGGATTCTTTAAACATGTGTGATAACTCTGTAAAAAAATAAACAGATACGTTGAAAAATACATTAAAGTAGCCCTAGATATAAGAGTATATAGTTATCAGACTTACCAGCAAGTTTGACAAAAGTGGGCGAAGATCTCAATAATCCACCTAAACTGGTACGAACTATGCAGCGATACTCATTTTTATCATGATTCTTATCACCAACGACATTACCATCCTTTCCCTTTTGCTTTTGTACCAGCTGCAAATTCTGTTTCTGCTCAAGAGAAGTACGATTAAATTCAGTCACCCACAAATGACATAGCTCTTGCTCCCGAAACCTTATTTACAAGAAATAACCCCTTACTTTATAAAAGTGTAACGAGCCATTGCGTAGAAGAGTGCAACGGGCGAGTCCACAAGGTGGTGCCGGTACTCCATTGTACAGCCAAGACACATCATGACCAAAGACAGACAAACAATTCAGCGTGATACCCTTCCTTCCCAATACCACGTGGCCACCAGGCTCGATCTCCAATGAAATTCCAGAATTACCAGAAGTTCCGATGCCTAAACCTTCCGGCTTAGACCCATTCTTTCCGATAATACCTCCACCTATTCCTTTGACACCTGTCGATGAAAATCAATCTTAGACAACTCCCAACTCACCGACGAAATTAAATCAAACGTTCGATAGATATATAAAACATCCAGGAGATAAGATAACGAAATAGCATAACGAACCGATAATCAAACTTTCTTTCTTAGGGCTGCCTTAGGAGGCCAGGTTTGTTTATATACGTCCCAGACAATGCATGTTCCTATCTCAGAAGATAACTGCAAACACGTGCATACATTTTGTGATAACCGTAGGATCGTCATGCCGCAGTTGGAAGGCAAGAATATTGAGAGACGTGCCCCAACTGTCACGCATTGCGTCGAGGATACGTTTGCAGGGCCAAGGAGGATCCTCCGAGACGTGTTCTCGACGTTGGGAGAGATGTTCGTTATTAGAATTGATAGAATTGACAGAATTAGAAGAATGGGTAGAACGGGTAGAATCGCGCGCCGTCGCGGTGTGCCCGGCGGGGCATAAACAAACGGCGGGCTACTCACGCGAGGGAGACGCACCTGCGGCGACGGAGACGGGCTTCAGCACTTCCGTGAACAAGATGCCGAGCAAGAGTACCCGCGCCGCCATATATGTCGACGGTCATTGGCACTGGTCTCACTGATGAATCTCGGCCGAGAGACGGCGCGGCAAGGTGTAGCCTCTCCAAAAAGTCCGCCGCCTCATGTTTGACGTCGTCTCAGAGAAAAGCTCGGCCGCCCGAGTGCGTTCCGTTCGTCGAGCGCCTCGACGCCCGGCAGCCGCACCGCGCCCAGCCGGACGCGGCTCTTCACATTTCCTCTCGAGCGGGGAACGCGCCCGTGGACGAGCGGGCTCACCGGCGACGAGCTCCTGCGTTAACGCGGCCGCGTAAATAAAGCCGAGGGATCGAGTGTCACCACGCGAATTGCGCATCCCGAGCCATCTTTATTGTTCCCCACCACCTGCTAGCGAAACGCGTGCGAAGCGCCAACTTGCGGAGAGGGGACGCGGCGCCGGAGCGGGAAGCTCGCCCGTCCGGCGATTTGATTGGTCCGCCGGTCGACCAATCACGAGCGTCGCCTCGCGCAACCGCAACAGTGGGAATTTAAATCGGGGAGACCTCTCAAGGAGATAAGTGAAAGCGCAGTTATCTCGCGATAGAAAATAATTCAGGGTAATTTGCTCGCTATCGGTAAATATGGGATTTACAGCAGGTAACCTGAAAGTTGGTTAGAGTGGTTGCGCGCAGAATCGCATACTCTACATCGCATACCACGTGTTCCGTACGCTAATTAACACACATTCCAGGCACGCCGCGGCAGAGGAGAGTAGGGATAGCTACGACAATCTTCAGTCATTTTTCCAGTGCGAGGAGCGTCGAGAACGTCATTGCTGGTTAATCGTTACACAAGAGTGGACGAATAAGCTCTGAACGGACGACCTTGGAACCCGTGCAGTCGATCTCTGGACTCGTAATCCGTGACCTCTCGCTCGAAAGATTCGAGTCGCCGTTAGGGGAACCTGCATCCTGAGCTTCGCACCATGGTAAAAATATTAAATCACGTTCCGACCTGTTTCACTTAATTCGATTGATTGAGGAAATTTTCCTACCGTTCACGAGTCTGGTTTACATTTAACCTACGTTTGACCTCCGGTTTCTTTCTCGTTATCTCTTGCACGACGCGACCCGGCACGTTAGATATGACATGAGACTCGTGTTTGGGTCTATTTCATTTTATACGAATTAAGCAGGATTTAGATGTATCGATGTGCAATTAGAATGATGGGATCGTTTCCTTTTTTGTTACCGACTAGTCGGAGCCTATCAATGTCGTTGTCACCGGCGCTGCAGGACAGATCGCCTACTCTCTCCTATACCAGTTGGCTGCTGGAATAGTTTTTGGACCGGATCAACCCATAAACCTCCGCTTATTAGACATTCCTCCCATGATGGATGTATTGCAAGGCGTTGTTATGGAGCTGGAAGACTTGGCGCTTCCTCTGTTCAAAGGTAACTTTTCTGAACACTCAGCGGTGTCCTTGTGGATTGCAGTATTTTATTTGCAGTTTGTAATTATAAACAAAACCCTTCTTTATATTTTACAGATATCGTATCCACTGCTGATCCCGCAGTAGCCTTCCGTGACGCAGCAGCTGCTTTCCTGGTTGGTTCGATGCCTCGCAAACAGGGAATGGAGAGGAAAGACTTACTCTCAGCTAATGTCAAGATTTTCAAAGCCCAAGGCGAGGCCTTGGATAAATTTGCACGCAAGGATGTCAAAGTTTTAGTAGTCGGCAATCCAGCCAACACGAATGCACTGATTTGTTCACACTATGCGCCATCCATACCGAAGGAGAACTTCACGGCAATGACAAGACTCGATCAGAACCGAGCGCAGGCAGCTATAGCGGCTCGTTTGGGGGTGCAGGTATTCATTTACGCAACAATTTTATGATACCTGTCCATATTATTTTTCCCAGTCTTTCGGTTACCTGAGCTTAACCGACATTTATTCCACTTGATAGGTTGACAAGGTGCGAAAAACCATCATCTGGGGTAATCACAGTTCGACACAGTATCCTGACGCATCACATGCCACCGTGGATACACCGAATGGAACGAAGCCAGTTCCCGAAGTGCTGAATGACAATGCTTGGCTCGAAGGCGTGTTCCTGGAGACGATCCAGAAGCGAGGAGCAGCCGTGATAGCGGCCAGAAAAATGTCTTCGGCTATGTCTGCAGCAAAAGCTGCCGGGGATCACATGAGAGACTGGTGGTTGGGAACCAAGGACGGAGAATGGGTCAGCATGGGTGTCATATCGGATGGCAGTTACGGAGTGCCTAAGGACATTGTCTTCTCCTTTCCCGTCACCATCAAGAATGGTCGATACAACATTGTCCAGGTGAGTCCTACGGTCTTCCCCAATCGAATTTCTAGAAGTTACACATAGTAGAGTATTTCCATTTTTAAATTAAAAGAAAAAAAGAGAATGAAAATACTATTTCAATAATAATATTTTTAGCTATCAAATGAGCTCGTAAATCCAGTATTTAATTAATTCACTCACAGGGTCTCTCGATAAGTGACTTTGCAAGGACCAAGCTGGACCTGACTGCGAAGGAGTTGGAGGAGGAGCGCGCCGAGGCGAACACCGTCCTGGGACAATGACTAAAAAGAGTCGGAGCTCGCACGGGGTCTTCGGGTCGCGAGGCCGCCTCGAAGTTGTGAGCAGAGACTGCCGACTACGAAGAAGGAATAAAAGAACAAAGGAACCTAGTGGACGCAGAAGAAGCGACCTGCGTCGGGGACGCGAAAAGGGAAAAATCGGGCTTCAGGGGGCCGGACGAAGAGCACGACTCGCAACGTACTTCTCTTTTATTCCTCCCAAGGATCAATAATAATTTATAGTACAGTAATAGTAACTATTCCTCATGTCGCGTTAGCGTTTTAATTAGTCATCTCTCACGCTTATATTATATCTTTGTATCGCTCCTCTAGACGCCTAGGTAGAAGGTGGCCGTAGTGTCCCTTCCCTATGTATAATTCACGCGCCGTCCTCGGGGTCCGTCCCCGAGAGCTCGGTACTCGCCCTGAAGAACGCTACGCGCGCTTAGCATTTGGCTTAGGTTCGGCGGTATGACGCGGCTTCCAGGGTGTACCAGGGGGCGCCGAGACTCACTAGGGCACCCTGATGCACCCCGAGTGTCCCGTTCCAGAGGTCGCGCCAAGATTGGCCTGATGGTGTGCCTCGTCCAGTGGGTCTTCGGGGCCAACGAGGAGGTTCCCGATGAAGCGAGGAAGATCCACGGGTCCTCCACCTCGCCTAGCGGCCGGACCGACCGGACGTACCCCACCCTTGTCCGCAAAAACAGAAATGACCTCCTGCAGCATTCAACTGAATTTGTACATCGACGGGATAACCTGGGACTGCCTCTTTGTCAATCCGTTCGTCGTTCTCGTCGTCTGTCCGGATGTCTCCCCCAATTCTCAAGCCCCAGTTATTCGTCTCAACTATTCCTAAGGCTAACTCTAATTAACTCGCTAGGCGGTAGCAGGGTACTCTGCGCGGTGCCATCTCTTCTGCGAGGAACGAGCTTCATTGGGATGGCTTCCTCAAGGTCTTCTTCGTGGTCGGAGCCACGTCTACGTCCGTAGACCGGGGCCAATCGGCGCACGGGGGCGCCAGGTCGTTCCATCGGGAGTCTCCCGCGCAGGGGTGGAGAACGACGCCCTCGACCTCGTCTTCGTCATCGCGTTCCCGCCCCATCGCCGGCCTCCCGTCCTCGGGGTCTTTTTCACGGGTTTCCGTGGGCACGCCTCGCGAACCGGGGCTCAGTTCAGGTGGAATCCTCTCTCCCGGGTGGCGGCCAGTAGCTTCTCCTTCAGAATCTCCTCCGTGGGGTACTCGGGCAGCTTCAGGTAGTGCACGCAGGTGTTCACCGAGGGGTAGCCCCCGGAGCCGGCGTCCACCTTGCGGACGACGGTCAGTCTCGGGTGCAGGTTGCAGAGGCCTCCAGGGGGTAGGGCCGAGCAGCCGGTTGCGAACTGCAGGAACGCCTTCCGCTCCAGGCCAGTCAGCGAGAGCAGGACGTTGACGAACCTCTGGAAACCCGGGCTGAAAGAAGACAAAATCAAATTCAATTTCAATTCAAGCTTTCGTGACTCGAACACGATCCACTGGGGATCCTCCCAGAGGCTCCCCTCTTAACTCTTGTATCTATCTTTTTTATATTTCCACCAGTTTTTAATTCAATGTAATTTCAAAAATATCACATCGACTCATATACTTTTTTTTTTACTCTGAAACGTGACGTCATCCTGAACGTGAGGTTATATCGCATGATTTTTTAACGCAACGGTGTGTCGCACGATTTTTTAACGCGACATGTCGCATAACTTTTGACCGACGTATTAGTCACGATCAGAATTTCAGGACATCGATATGAGTTTAAAAAAGGAACGTTTTAATAGAACATCATGGATGCCTTCGACGGGACTTGGACGCCCACCTGTCCCTGGTGTAGCCGAGCTTCGGCTCGGTGTAGCTGAGCAGGTCTTCCTTGGTCCACTGGGGATTCTGCTCTCCGCAGAGCATCGCTCTGACTTCCTCAGGGCTGAAGGCGTAGAGCTTCTCCATGGGGAAGACCTTGGAGAAGCCCGCCCGGAAGGCCTCCAGCTGTCTGGCGATTCCTCGGTCGAGGCAGAACTCGACCGTCAGCTCGGCGTAGTCCTTGGCATTCTCCAGGGTCACGGGGATCTCGGCGCCGCCCTCGCGGAGGTCGATCTGCTCGTGCTCGAACACCCTGGAGCTCGGGGCGTAGGTCATGGTAAGGGCGAGGTCCTCGATGGCGACCGACGCCCCGGACGGATGACTTATTCGCAGAGAATCCTCGGAGAGGACGGCCCCCTCGAACAGGCGCTTCTCCCTTCTGGAGGTGAGCGCCTGGATCTCCTTCAGGAACTCGCCTCTGACCGGGTCGACGATCGCCAGGTCCTCGATATTCAGGATCCCGCTGTACCAGGGCACCGACTCGAGAGACGAGTAGGAAGCTTCAGGGTCGCCTGTGGATGCAAAAATTGCGTTTCAGGAAATTCCTTACTCTTCAGGATCTGACCAAAGATGTGAAAAATTGCGTTTCAGAAAATTCCTTACTCTTCAGGATCTGACCAAAGATGTGAAAAATTGCGTTTCATAAAATTTCTTACTCTTCAGGATCTGACCAAAGATGTGAAAAATTGCGTTTCAGAAAATTCCTTACTCTTCAGGATCTGACCAAAGATGTGAAAAATTGCGTTTCAGAAAATTCCTTACTCTTCAGGATCTGACCAAAGATGTGAAAAATTGCGTTTCATAAAATTCCTTACTCTTCAGGATCTGACCAGATGTGAAAAATTGCGTTTCATAAAATTCCTTACTCTTCAGGATCTGACCAAAGATGTGAAAAATTGCGTTTCATAAAATTCCTTACTCTTCAAGATCTGACCAAAGATGTGAAAAATTGCGTTTCATAAAATTCCTTACTTTTGACCAAAGATGTGAAAAATTGCGTTTCATAAAATTCCTTACTTTTCATGATCTGACCAAAGATGTGAAAAATTGCGTTTCATAAAATTCCTTACGTTTCATGATCTGACCAAAGATGCTAAAAATTGCGTTTCATACGATTTCTCCTCAGGATGTGACCAGAGATTTGAGAAATTGCCTTTAAAAAAATGTCCATCTTTTTTAAGACTCGATATCAGATAGATACTAAGAACCCGAAGTGCGACATCCTTACCCTCCTCGGAGATGAAGCTGCTGGCCATACTGGAGGACACGCTGTCCTGGGCGGCTCCTCCCAGGCCGATTCTCTCGTTGACGTTGTCGGCGATGTCGCCGCGACACATCAGCTTTAGGAACGGCCTGGAGAGCGGCAGGTCGACGAGCCGATTGTCCTGGAGGACCTTGGCCAAGAAGACGCCGAGGAACCAGAAGTACCTGACGGCGCGAGCGCAGGCCGCGGAGTCCTGGGGTAAGGGGGCAGGGAAGAGACCACTGGGTCTCCTGACGTAGAATCCGGCAGGTCGAACCTGCTCCCCTGGCGGACAGATGGACTCTTCCTGGTCCGAGCAGGCAACCTCTTCGTCGTCGCACAGCCAGAGGCCCAGGTCCTTTCGCTGAAGCTCGGCAGCCACCAGAGCATAAAACTCCAAAGTAGGACCCAGACCTGTACCCTCTTCGCCGACGAACTCGACTTCGAGGATGCTCTTGCGACCCGCGTGTACCTGTTAGTCCAGGACCCGGAAAAAGTAGAAGATTAGAATTTGAAGTGATAAAAAAAAATAGGAACATGCAGTTCCTTAAATTTTAACTATTTTCCTTGTACATCAATTTTATCCGCCGCTGATATATAATTTATTTAAACATTTAAATGCTTCGTCCAGGTTTACCTTGAGCACTTGTTCGGCCCAGGCAAGGAGTCTCTCGCCTCTCGGCACGCTGACCCTCTCGTGCTTCAGCCTGCCCACCCTGAACTCGTGGCTGTCGTCCCTCCGAGGACTGAGACCAGGTGCGCGTTGCCTCTCGAGGACGGCATCCCTCTGAGTCTGCAGCCAGACGATCGATCTGGAGGCCCCGAAGGCGGTGCAGCTGAAATAGAGCCTACGAGTCTCGAAGGGGAGCAGGAAGGGGCAGCTCCTGGCAAGTTCCTCGCACCAGCTCGGCAGGGCCCCGGCCGCCAAGGCCAGGGGGTCCTGTATCTGTTGCACGACCTTGTTCGTGATCTTTTTCGAGGCGAAGTCATCGGGATGCACCCAGGATGGATCTTCCTCGGAGCCGCCGTCCTCCTCAGACCTGCCGTTCTCGTCGCGTCTCGTACTGAGGACGAAGACGTGCCTCAGGAGCTGGAGGACATCTTCGACGGTGCAGGTGTTTGAGCTTTGAGCCGGGTTTCTGGAATACAGGGTGACGATCGGCGTTGCCCTGCCCGACATCTCCTCTTCTTTGGCCTCCTTGTAGATTATCCTGAAAGGAATCGAGTTGAGAAATACTTGTAACGGGGAATCGGGATTTTTAAAAAGATAGTAAAACGTGGAAAGGTGTCTCACGTGTAGGTCGGCTCCCAGATCCTTCTGAGCTTCTCCTGGCGACTGCCCAACTCCGTGAGCTGCATCAGCTCCTGGACCGCCTGGAAGATGCTGGAGTGCGGCTCCGAGAGCGGGAGCTCGACGTCCGGCACTCCCGGCAGTCCAGGGCCCTTCAGGGTGAGACTGAGTCGCGGGGTCTGCGAGGAACCGGTGCGAGTGCTGGACTGCAGCTCGCTACCTGGTGGCGGTACCTCCAGATCCGTCGTCTGTTTGATAAACAGCATTCACGTTACACTCGACGTCCCTCTTACTCTACCAAACGCTAAAACGAGTCGCCAGACACGCTAGATAAAAGATAACGACTCGACTTACCTGATTGATGTTCGTCCTCCCAGGTCGCGGGTCGAAGGCGGGTATAAGCGCGGAAAACTGCCTCTTCAGGACGAACTCGTCATCCCAGGCTCGCCTTTTGCTGCTATGCGGAGTGTCCTCCTCCATGAAGGCCGCGAGGAGGTTGCGGCTCACCATGCCCTCCTCGTACTCTCCCTCGCCACCCTCGCCTTCCTCCTCGTTCTCTTCGTCGTCCTCCTGGAACGATTCCATGAAAGTGTCTTTAATCTCCTCCGGAAGACCACCGACAAAGAATCGAGCTCGGTAAAGTCAGAACTAATCTCTGCCTCCGTGCTCGTAGGTACCTCTTGGTCGTTCTCGTCGTTGTCGTCGTCCTCCTCGGCCAGGATGCCATCCTCGTCGTCCTCCAACTCCGTCAGGAGGGAGGGTCCACCCGTACCTCGGCCACCCCCGCCGACGCTCGACCCGGGCGCGCCCCTGTAGGACTCCAAGAACTCCTCGAAGCTGACCTGCAGCCACAACTTCAGATTACATTAAAAGGAAAGCTCGTCACGACGTTCCTGGTTGCGACCTGCCCTACCAGGTCGGATCCGAGGAAAGAGAGAGAGAGAGCTTTCGCTCACCTGTTCGCTGTCGCTGCTCGTGCTGGTTAACGACATGGTCAGGGCCTGGCCGAGGCCGGGACCCGTTGTGGTGGTGACCCCGCTACCGGCGACCTGGCCGCTGCTCGTCAAGCTAGGGTAACTCTGTGCGGTGCTCAACAACCCTCCGGGGAAGTTGGAGTTCAGGGCGAGTCGCACCAGACTCGACATAGAATTCGGGCCTCTGGGGTTCGAGCCAGCATTTGAATTAGGCGCTATATGTTGACCTCCGGTGGACCCTGGAAAGAGGCGACGCGTCATCTACGGGAGCGATTCCTGGAGTATCTAGTCTCTACGTCAAGCTACTAAATGTAATAATAATTCTCCAACGTAAAGAGCCGTCCATGAGTACGTGGCCAGGTAATTTCTTCTATACCCCACGTTTTTACCATTGGCCTAATTATTTTGCAGGATATATCAACATGTAGTTCAGTTTCACGATCCGGAGACAACGAACGCCTACCCAGGGTTCGTCGTCGAGCCATGGAGGCGAAGGTGTCGAGCAGTCCCGTGGCAGCGGCCGGCTCTATGGTGTTGTTGGCATCGCTGCAGGCGAGATTCGGCACGGAGACGGACATGGGGTTAGTGACGACCACGGGACACCCTCCGGTGGCGTTCTGCGAGGTGGAGCCGCCGGCGTCCTTGTCCTTGGCCCCTGAAATCGAACCGCAAAACCGTGAAACGCGTCTGTAGTCGACCCACTGGTCTCTCTCTTTCATATGAAACAATTCACAAATTCTTAATAAAGACCCCATGTACCTTCGACCACCACGGGATGCTGTCTAGGAACCGGCTTGATCCTCATGGAGCTGTCGTCGGTCTCGCCCGACACGCTGATCCTGACGGGCACCAGACCGAGCAGTTCTCCGCTGAGGAAGTTATTGGTGTTGTTGCGGAGTCGATCGGCGCCCTCTCGCATCCGGTCGAGCACCTCGGCGGCCTCCAGACTCAAAAGTCCACTTGCCGGCTGGAATAATACCCAACGATGATCTCATCTTGTGGTCATATGTTCCAGGACACCTCGCGACACCGAGTACCTCTTCGGGTACTCACCTTGTTGCCTCCCCTCACGGTGCCGAAGAGCGGCTTGGAGCTGCTGGTGGCTCTGTTGCTGTTGCTGTTGGTGGCAGGGCAGTCGGTGTTCAGGGTCAGGCTCTCGACGATGGTGGCCAGATCGCTGGTCACCGTGGTGTCCGGTCTGGGATGCAAGACGACCGACAACTCGCTCGTCGCGTTGGCGGCTCCTTCGCCGGTCACCGCGACCACGGCTTCCGCCCTTGCCATCGAGAGCACGCTCTCGGCTATCGTTTCTGCTGCTTGCTGTCGACGATACGAGGACGTAATGCTACCTCTTCTATAAAATTCTTAATTTACGCGAAAGATACGACGAAGACCCTCACCTTGGCGGCCAGGTTGTCGGCACTAGCCGCTTGATCGGTGGAGGCCACCGAGTCGCGCATTCCCGTGTCGGTGCAATCCGGTAAGCTTGGCGTGCTGCTAGATTTTCTCCCGGTCAATACTCCGGTCGTTCCGTTTTTCGCCTTGGTAGGATTCTCCGGCTCCAAGGCCGCCGAGCCCACCAGCTTCAGGTCGTACTTCCCCTCGGCGCCCATTCTGTACGAGTTCGAGCCGCCGTGATCCCAGGTCACGTCTATCCACCCGTTGTGCAGCTCTCCGGTTACAGTGCCCTCGCCTGGAGAGAATTTCGGAAGCGAGTCGTCATACAAGAAAATATACAAACAAAGCCAGCAAATTATTATGCAACGAAGTATATGAGCAAAGCGAGTGAATCGTGAACAAATACACGAAGTGTTATGTAAACTGACCTGGTGGCAAGCCATCCTGGTCTCTCCACTTCCAGTCGAGGCCACGAGCGACCCTGGCCCCGACAACGAGATGCCTGAGGACCTGGGTCCTGATGAGCCTCCTCTGCCTCCTGACGCCGGCCTCGGCTTCCCTGGCCGCGCGCCCCAGGTCCTCGCAGACCCCGGTCACCTCTCCGTAGACCTCGAATCCAGAGACCGAAAGATAATGGGTCTGTCCCGAGGCGTTTTTCCCGGTCTGCTGGAGACGAAGGTGCCTCCACCCTTGGGTCTCGTCACTGGGAGGCTCCAGGGTCCAGGTCGCCGTGCTGCCGGGCTCGTTCAGCAGGAAATCGTCCACGTGGGTGTAGAGGGTCGTCCAGGTGACGCCGTCTTTCGAGGCCTGAAGAGGTTGTCCATGAGACGCGATTCGCAATTATATCTAACGACGAGAAACGCGATCTTCGCTTACCTGGAACATCCAGTTCCGCAGGGCACTCCTGCCGTACCCTCTGGCGTGCCTCAGGGTGTAGGCGGTGGGGATGACCCAGATGCCGAGGTCTATTGAGAACCAGGCCTTCTTGTCGTCGTTGGTGTGGCAATTCAAGGCGGACGGATCCCTGCTGAGGATGTCTTCGAGGTGTCCATACGGCAGGTTGCGGCCATCGCTCGAGGTCACCACGACGAGACCGTACTGGGCAGGATTCACCCACTCCGAGCAGGTTCTGGAACAACGGTAGAATTCGTCATACCTTCTCGTATCGTCCACCTCGCGTTACGTCTACAGGTACTCAGGTACTCGATCCTCACTTTGCATTCGTGCCTATCCAGTATAAAACCCCGCACTCGTCGAAATCGTGCTGATACTTGAACGACAGTCGGTGGCCCTCCTTCAGCTTCTTGACGAAGGTGAAGGTGGACCGGTCGTGGTCGTGCCACTGTTTCGCGACCATCTTCAGCAAATGGTTCTCCAGCTGCTGGACCGTGCTCAAGGGCTCCATCTTCAAGCTACGTCCGGATCTGTCGATCAGAGCGCTCTCTCCTGCAGCTTTCTCGAGGCGGAACCGCAGTCTCCTGGTCAGGATCTGAAAAGGCAAAATTATACCCTCGCCCTTCTGGAAATCCCTCGATCAGCCGAAATTTCAATTAACCTGCAAGCCGTATCCAGAGCCAGGTGTGTCGTAAAGGTAGACAGGAAGCTTCTCGATGGACTCCAGGACCGACACGAGCTTGTGAACGAGCACCTTGGCGGAGTTGTGCTCCACTGCCGAGTCGTTCATGTGGAAGCAGTTCTTGAAGAGGGCGATCCGCTGCATCCTAAGCTTGGTGGCCCTGAGGGAGGTGGGCTGAGGACCCGAAGGCGCAGCCAGGAGCGCGAGTAAAGCCTGGACGAGACCGCTGGAATGAAGTTCGTACGCGGAAACTCTGCCCTCCTCGTTCAGGAGAGCTTTTAGCTCTTCGAGGACAGCCTGCAGGATGCCCCTCCACTCTCTATTCCCGGACTGCTGCTTCTGGCAGGCCTTCTCCGTCTGGTTGACGATTGCTGCGAGCTTGGCGACCACTCCTCGAGGTTGAGCCTGAGCTGCCCTGAAGTATCTCTCGTAGATATCCTGCGCCTGAGTCTTCACCTTCTGCTTGATGGCCTCGATCTTCGACCTGAGTCTCTTCCCACGTTTCCCAGCCCAGCCGGCTGCAAACTCGGGGCCTGAAAATGCGACCGATCATTGTACAGATAGTCTGATAGTCCAAGGTTCTTCGAGTACCCATCATGAGATGGTCTGATAGACCAGGCTTCATCAAGGTACTCATCATGCATGAGTCGAATCGCGTACCCAGGCTCGTCTCTGCCGTGAAGGAGTGCTTGGTGCCCCGGTTAGACTCGAAGATGAATCCTGGCAGGTCTTCCCTGAGAATCGTGGCCTGTTGCTGACCGTCCGAATTGTGTATGTAGAGCTCGCTTTCCTTGCGACTGAAGAGTGCCCAATTTCCGACCACCAGGCGTGTAGGTCCAGGTCGGGATAGCACGGGTTGGCTCACAGAGTTCGGCTTGACCTGGCTCCTGGCCCTCTGCAGCTTCTCCAGGAACTCGCCCCGGTTCTCTGCAAGAGAGGACACCTTAGTAACAAAATCCCTGGACGAGGACGACGCGATGGGATGTGTCGAAGTGCGAGCGCCGCTTTTGTCGGACATTGATAATTAGATCAGACGTTGATCGGACATAGATTAGACAAAAATTAAAAGAAAGAAGTATCGACCGCGTAGTCATATACAGTATCATCAGAGCAGGGTAACGATTTCAATTGGAATCATTTAAAATACGTATCTAAAATGTAAAACGTCATCTTCTATTTTTTTATCTTAAATAAAAACAATAGGAACACTTTGCACTTGCAATTTTAAATAGGTTTTGGACCTATGTACATATATAAATAAATACATCTATGGAAAATGCGTACAAGACTGAATAATACATGCATATTCATGCATATAAACGTAGACTAGAAAAGAATAGAAAAGAAAAGTACCAACCATATCTTTTTTACTTCTATTTTAAAATACAACTTCCCAATATGATATTAAATATTAAGCTTGCATTTCTTTTTGCCAGCCTATTTCAAATGTACATTTTACATTTTCTATTTTAAATGGATTTTATGACACTATTTTGCATTTTTTCGTTTTTTGTTGCAATTCGATAAAAATAATTCTTATATTAATGCAATATAATATATTACCCGACTCTACTACCTCGTATCGTATTACCTACCTTCCATGGTAAGCGACTCCGTGTTCCTCCCCTTTCCTGTAGGCAGTTAGTAAAAAAAACGAGTTATTCTCTAAGCTATTCCCTAGTCTAATCGTTAATCACACACATACACGGCGAAAGAGGAGAAACGTAATTCAAGACTCGTGCTTACAATTACATCTACACGGGTTCGAATCAAGTTTTTCCTATAAGATTGCCAGACGTCTCGAAAAGGACTTTAAAAATTTCTCATCCTCCCCCGGTACGAAAAAAAAAAAAAAACCAATTGAATTCCTTTTAATCCCCTTCTCGAGTCGAGGAATCGAATTTTTTCCAGCTTTCCAGATGGAGCCAGACCGATCTTAAGGCGATATTAAAATCGCATCCAAGGAGTCGCCTGTTCATGAAACCATTATCCAAACCAAGTACACCGAGTCCCTTTAAGTGAAAAATTGGAGGCCCTAGGGAAAGTTCCAATACTCACGGAGTTCCGTATTTAAATTTCCATATAGTCGTGATTTCATAATTTTATGTGCGTGTGTGTATATATATATATATTTAAGAGAAAATTGAAATTTTTTGCAGGGACCTTCCTCAAGGAGTCCATACCCTTGTGGCAAGAATTCAAGCGACTCGGTGCACCCGGTCCAGGAAAAACCCGCACAGGCGAGTTCTTAGACGCTACTTTTGTATATCGCCTTAATATATATTATCGAGTTTACGTTCAATATTAAGTATATAAACGATATTCGCGATGCGTTGAGCAGGGACTTCGACGCATCTCAGCGCGGCCGGGACGAAGTGTAAGTAAAAGGTGTTCCTCCGCGTGAGTTCCTGGATCCGCAGGTACCGTTTGCCTCTTTCCAGTCAGAGGTCTTACCGGTGGTGTCGGTGCCGCCTTCGGGGCTTCCGCTGGAGTACATGGTGGCCAGCTTGCCGTCGAGGATGAACCGGAACCACCCATTACTGCCGTTGCTGAGCTCCAGGGCGGCGGCGTCGGACCAGACGTAGAGGCAATCGCGACCCTTGCAGATGCACCACTCGCGCCAGTGATAGGCCCTGCCGACGAGCAACTCCCGGGCGTCCTCCGATCGCTGTTCCTCCCCACCCTGGCCCGCGTCCGCCTCCGGTTCGGCTGAGGTCGACTCCTGCGGCCCCGCCAGGGCGGCTACCTTCGAGAAGACGCCGAGTCGGGCGAAGTGCTCCAGGAACTCCTCCCGGCCCTTTGCCATCAGGTCCTGGATCATCTGCAGCACCACCAGGTGCCCGTCCTCGTCCTCCTGTGGACAGAAAGTGGGTTCCCGGGGTTAGAGAATCGAAATCTCTTCAGGGACATCCGCACCTCGTCATCCTGTCCTTTCACGGCCTTAAGGTCTTCCCGGATACCTCGTGTAACAACCGCGAGAGGTCGTGAAGGCCTTAAAGAGACGCGACCATGGACGGGTCGATGCATTTCTGAAACTTTCCTCCGAGCCAGGCGAGCCGAACGATCTGAAATTTCACCATCTGAACGCGGAGCCCCTGAAGAAGGTCCCACCAACCACGAAGCCTCAATTCTCGTAAATCTTCTCTTACACACAATTTCTCTAACTAAAGCATAAAATAACCTAAAACTCCACGTTCCATATTTTCTCATTCTATCTATATACACAATTATTAAACGTTGCATAAGAAAAAAATCAAATCTCATTCTTAGCGATTAACATTTTATGCAGGATTCTCAAACATTGTCCAAAAGATTCGACTTTAGTTATTTTCAGGGACCTTCTTCTGGGTTAAAGTGGTGAACTTCCAAACGACCGGACACACCAGATTCTGAAGAAATATCATTACCACTTATTATTAACGTAATAATTAGACGGTAAAATCGAGCGGCTCTCTAGAGGTACTCTAGCGGTGGCCAACGTGTTAAGGGTGTCTTCGAGTCCCAGGAAGAATCCACCAAAGGGCGCGTTAACTTCGGGATGCTCATGCGAGGGTATGTCAGCTCGTTAAGAGGCCGGTGCAAGGCCCCGAGTCCTTGGTGGAGCCTTGACCCGGGCGTCTCTCGGTGTCTCTCGAGACGAGGGCATAAACCGGGGTCGTTCCTTCGGGTTGCAAAAGAGAGAGTGAAAGCGGACGTTACCGTCTTCTCGACAATGTACCTCCGGAGGCCGGAGGGCTTGCGCGACGAGGGGCAGGGCAATTTGGGACCAACGATCGACCTGAAAGGCGGAGGCGGCGGTGGCGGCGCCGAGCTCTCAACCCCAACTTCGGCCTCCTGCGAAAAAGTCTGGTCTCTAAGTCGGGCGACGACTCGCACCAGATGGCTGTCCGCCCGCGCCCTCTCCGCGGCACCCTATCAAGGTGCCGAGAGAAAGAAATGGAGGAAAAAAAAAACGATGAAATGGAGAGAAAAAAAATGAAGAGAAAAAAAAAACGGATAAACAGATAGATAGAAAGAAATGAAGAGCACCACCCGATAACGTCCAAGTCGCAGGACGACGCGACCTGGATCCCTCTGGATTACAACTACCAAGTTCCATCTACGACGCGACGGACTACCCCGAGGACTTCTCACCTCATTGTCGAGGACATTGGCGATGACCTCGACGAGAGTGGCGCCGCACCCAACGGTGCAGCCGCCGCCGCAGGTCTCGGCGAGGAGTTCCGGCTGGATATAGTGGACCATCTTCCTGACGAGGCTCAGACTGGCCTTCCTGACGCTGGGGAGCATGGTGGATTGGAAGGTGGCGCAGAAGACGGGCAAGAGTCTGCCCAGGTAGACGGGCGCCATCTCAGGGTCTCCCCTGGGCTCGGTGGAGTCCTCCTCGGACTCGGCCTCCCGTTTCCGATGGTCGCGGTCGGGCAGCACCCACTCTCCGGGGGATTGCAAGATGGCGGCGACCTCGCGATGGCCCTCGTCGACGCGCTCCCTGGCCTTATCCAGAGGGGTTTTGCCGTCCTCGTCCCTGAGGTCGGGGTTCGCCCCGTGTCTCAACAAGACCTTGGCGATGGCGGGCCTGCCAAAGCAGGCGGCGTAGTGAAGGCTGGAGGATCTCTGTCCCTTGTTGACGTCGGCGCCCCGGTCGCAGAGGAACTCGACCATCTCTTGGGTGCCGAAGGCGGAAGCCCAGTTAAGGAGGGTCTGACCCACGTCGTCCATGAAGTTGACCTCGATGCCACCAGAGTCGATCGCCTCGACGAGGGCGTCCGTGTCCTTGGAGCGGATGCAGTCGATCAACTGACGATGCGACTTCTCGCCGGCGCTGTCCAGGCGACGCAGCCTAGGAAGCAGGGGTCCACTCGACCCCGCCGTAGAGGAAGGACCACCGCGTCCCAGGGCGGACCTCCCTTCGAAGAGCAGCACCAGCAGCAGGTCCACCAGCCTCATCGAGTCTAGGGCACAACGCTCGTCGCCCTTGAGCGCCTTCTCAATCGCGTCCGGTAGCTCCGATCGCAATAGATCGTGGGTTATCGACGGCGACCCTCGGCAGAGAGTCGAGAGCAGGCTGATGATGGTGGACACCGAGGCGCAGGACTTCGGCTCCGGAGCTGGACCCGTAGGGCCCGATGTCGCCGGGGCCTTCGGAGTCCCCGAGGTCGCCGCCACCGACGCACCTGGACCCGCCGCGTTCGAGAGTCTGGTAACGAAAGAATTCAAGATTAGAATCCATTCCTGAATTTTCTCTTAATTTAGGATTTACGTTTAACAATGATTATTTATAAATTCAAAGATGAGCGAATATTAACTCGACATCCGCACCTGTATAGTAGTTCGGAGACGAGGCCGTTGGAAGCCAGGGGTGCGGGATCAATGCCCCTCCTGGAGAAGCGGTCGGCCAAGGAGGCGAAGCAACGCAGGGCACCGTCAGCCACGTGGGCGTCCTCGTGTCTCAGCAACGTCGAGAGCGCCTCGACGCAGTCTGGCAGCGCCTTGTCCACGGGCTCGACCTTGCCGCATAAACGGGAAACGACTGCCATGGCGGAATGCAATGTGTCGCGGTGCACCCTGGCTCCGTGTTCGCGAATGAAGCAGAGGGCACAGGGCAGACCTCCAGCTTCGAAAACAGCTCCGGCCTCCCTGGCGCATACCAGTTCTAAGACCTGCCGATGAACGAAGGTTAAAAAAGGTTCCATGTGTATTTATCTATAATCGACCTTGATTTGTAAAGTACCTTGATACATTGCTCGGCGAGGTCGCGGCTCGCTCTAGAACCCAATCCAGCACCGGACAGACGACCGCAGATCGCTTTGACTGCACCGTCTATGGCTACCACTCGTCGAGTGCACTCTGCCGATACATCTAGGTAGTACGTAATGGCTCGGGCTGTCACTTCGAGAACACTGTCCGGAGCCAGGTCATCCAGGAAGATGCGGCAAAGAGCTGGCAGGAACGTGCGGGGTGGGCAACTGGAATAGATATGGTCATTTATAAAGTTAAATCTAGAGTTCGGAAAGAAAATAGTGGATTGATGGGTCGACAAAGAGAGATCGATGAAAAGGGATGTCAGAGCTGGAGGGATTATCTTCGGGTTGAAAGAAACTAGTCTGAGTCAGATGTGGGGAAATTGAAATGACTCGATGAACCAGTGTCCATTTTTAGAAGCAACTTTGTTTCTCTCTTTTTCTCTTACCATTCGAAGCAACGGTCAACATTGTCGGACATCAACAGCAACATGCACAGTTGTTCCAGTGCTATCAGCTGCATGTCTCTTTCGTCGCCCTGGCCCATATTGAGCCATTCCAGTAAGGTTTCCGGATCTACGTCAGCCATTTTACTGTAGAAGATAAACACTGGATGAATTTAAATTGTAATAAATAATTTGGAACTGTTGATCGAGTCGATTGTAAATCTTATATGAATTTATGATTTTTTATTAGGAACTCATTGAACAAAGAGTTCCTAGTGACATTACGCGGGAGACTCGATAGGGCAAAGTTTAAACTTAAAGCACATGAATTATTCATATAAATTGAATTATAGATTCATTAGCTTTACACGCATCCACGGGGATTCGGTGACTTCAAGTTCAGTGGATCATATTATCGATTGTATAATACTTAGTAATGGAATTAATAAGCAAGTGTTGGCATTGTATGCGATCAGACGATTACAATTGGAATGAGCTTTATCTCAGTCCAATTGTATCTTTGTGAATGAAGAAAGGCATTAACAAATGCAAAGGCAACTTACATGGTTTTTATTCCAGTGGCACTTAAATATTTTTATATGATGATCTGAAAACATATAGAGACGAAAAACATTATTTTCATGAAACATGGTGGCACGAGTGCAAGTAGATCTGACCGGCCCTTCAAAGGAAGTACATGAGCCGATGGAAGAGTGTTACCAAAAAAACAAAGATTAAAAAGGTAACCTATGATGCAACCAAATTAAGCAAGAGTTCCTTATCGCGTTGGCCCAGTTTGATGCCCGGAATATAAGTACACTTATATATCAATCCACTGCTAAAATGAAAAGCTCCTCGAATATCAAATTATGTACTTGTACAAAAGCTGAATCCAATCCAGCAAAACTGCAACTGACAATAAAGGACCCATTTCTGACGAACGCCCAATAAAGTCTGTCTTTGTTCCCTGTCGGAAACAATGAAGTCACAAATCCATATACCGAATTACAAATAAATCTAACGAATACCAGATAAATAAATAAATAAATAAATAAATAAAATAAATTATATATTTCACGCCAGAACTCAGGGCGACTCCATCCAATCGAAGACGCCGATGCTGCTGATGAAAGAGTCGTTCGCAACGAGTGACAAAGGGCCACTTCGCTTCCAGGTCGTGGAAAGCCACCGATACATACGTTGGTTCATAAGTAGAGCACGAGTAAGCGAATAGGTGTGCATCAAGTCCAAGACAAGGACGTACCGTGCAGCAGGGCGCTCCATCCTTGGAGGGTCACGTCGACATCCTGCTCCGCGACTCCTCGGTCTCCGTCGATCAGCCCAACGGGAGAAATCGGAATAATTCCGTCGCTGGGTCTCCTTGAGTTACCTTTGACCACCTTCAGCCGCGGCCAAGCATTCCTGGGGGAAAGTTTACTCGGTCTCGATCGTCTCGTTGTCGAGCAGCCGTAGCGAGCTATGCAGTGAACGCGACCAGATATACAAAGAGAGTCGTACGAAGTCCGCTCGAGGCGAAGTCTGCTCCAAATGCGACGGGACGACAGAATCCGCGACAACGGCAGACCACGGCGGAGACTTCCTGAATCTTCTTCCGAGCTGTTCCACCGCTATTCGGTGTGCTATTCCACACGTCTCGTGCGTTCTCGCTTCTACTTAAATCAACTTAGACCGCATTTATACCGATTTCCATCGTCGTAGACATGGCCGCCTCTCATGGACACGACGGTCGCGACAAGGAGCGACATTTCTCACGGGAGGGGTGTGCGGTGATTTAATTCGCAACGTCCATATGTCCAGACATAGACAGAGATGAGTTGGGAGATTGCTCACGGGCAGGATCGTGTGATCGCATCCTGTGCTGCCCTCTGGTTTCATACGTTAGCTTTCACCGTTTTTTGCCCCCAAGGGCGGCGCAACAAATTTCTGATAGGAGCTAGCGCACTCGCGATGGCGGTCCCATCTACCAGTCACCGTTGGCGGCTCACGTACTCGTGATGGTAATACCATGCGGCAGTTGACGGTGGTGACTTACCTACGCTTACCGACACTGCCTGCTTTTGACAGTAAGGGAAGAACACTCGTGACGCTCCATTTGACTTTACTTATCTACTACTATTAACTACATTGTTGCCTCCAAGTTGACGTGATGCGGAGCATTAGGGCACGCGTCGGTGTCGCGTACGGAACCCTTATGCAGCGAATCTGTGTGAGTGCGATCGCTCCTAGAAATCTTAGCGCGTCCCAACCAGCCAAGCGCCAAGCTACGAGTCGAGACGTTGAGTATGTGTGCGTTCGGCGCAATACTCGACGAGTATGCGTGAGTGTCGAATACTGCGAAAATCCTCCCGAGGCTTACTTAACCCCGGATACAAGCCGAGTCATTTCGTGTATAATTTTTTTTACATTTCCTTACTAGCGTTATCGAGCGTTTTCCGAGCGTTTTCGAGAGTCATCAAGCGTTTTTCAACCGTTTTCAAGTGTTATTAGTGTTTTCGATGTTTATCGAGCGTGTCGAGCGTTATCGATCGTTTTCGCGCGTTTTTCAAGTGCTTTCGAGCCTTATCGAAGTGTTGTTACCTGTAGTAGAGTGCCAGAGAGGTGCCGAAGAGAGCTGGAGAGTGCCGGAGAGTGCCGGAGAGTGCCGCAGAGTGCCGGAGAGTGCCGCAGAGTGCCGGAAAGTTGCTCCGACACTCTCCGGCACTCTCCGACAACTCTCCGGCACTCTCCGGCANAGGCAACAATGTACTTAATAGTAGTAGATAAGTAGATAAAGTCAAATGGAGCGTCACGGGTGTTCTTCCCTTACCATCAAAAGCGAGCAGTGGCTGTAAGCGTAGGTAAGCCACCAACGTCAACTGCCGCACGGAATTACCATCATGAGTACGTGAGCCGCCAACGGCGACTGGTAGATGGTACCGCTATCGTGAGTGCGCGAATTCCTATCAGAAATTCGTTGCGCCACCCTTGGGGGCAAAAAACGATGAAAGCTAACGTACGATACCAGAGGGCAGCACAGGATGCGATCGCACGATCCTACCCGTGAGCAATCTCTCAACTCATCTCTGCCTTCCACTTAGAATTCCCTACAAGAGGGCGTCATTGGCGAATTTCAGTTCCGGTCGGAGATTATAGAGTCGCTGCGAATTCTCTCCAATTCTCTCCTCATTTCTGGAGCTTTCCATACTCCGCACCGGCAAGGCTAGCTTGGCAAGTAATCCCGAGTCACTGTTCGGCGTGTGCATGAAAAGAGAGCTGTGAATTTTTTTCATCGTGATTTCACGAGAGGCGAATTGCAAATCATGGATAAGGTAATGCCTTCGCTCAATATCAGCGACGCCTAACCTTAAGATTTATTTGGAACAAGGACAATTGAATGGCAGTTTGTGCGAATACGTTACGAGGTCTTGGAACCCGCGTGCACGCTTTAGCAATTTTTCAAAGCCTATTTATGTGATCGATTATCCATTGCGAAGTAATGGTTACAAAGAATATTTTGAACAAATAGCTTCACTGATAATTTTTCCATTTCTGGTTGACTTACTCAGTGATATTATTGAAATAACTTTGAGATGCAAAGAAGTGTCAGGTTGTACGTTGATATTGCAACTTGTACTCTGAACATTACTCTGTTGAAACTACGCTGCGCTAAAACTATTGATCGTTACTTTTTTTTTTTTAGTGCTCACTGTTGTAACTTAATTTTATAGGTATCCGAGTTGAAGGAGAAAGGTAACGCAGCTTTGCAGGAAGGCAAATTCGACGATGCAATTAAATATTATACCGAGGCAATAGCCCTGGATAATGCTAACCATGTGTTGTATAGTAATCGGTCTGCCGCATATGCTAAATCTAAACAATACCAATTGGCGTTAGAAGATGCCGAAAAAACTATACTGCTGAAACCAGACTGGGCGAAAGGATATTCTCGAAAAGGCAGTGCCCTGGTATATCTCGGGAAACTCGACGATTCGATCAAGGCATTCGAAACAAGCCTTCAGTTAGATCCAAGTAATATCCAAACCAAGGAATACTTGGAGGAGCTGAAGACAGAAATGAACATGGGTAATCCTTTCAATACTCCAGATTTGTTCATTAAACTTAGAAATAACCATATGACCAAGAAGTACCTCGATGATCCAGAATTTATAAAATTGATACAAGAGCTTCGTAATGATCCTAGTCTGATGACAACAAAACTACACGATAAAAGAATACTAATAGCGATTAGTGTGCTTATGGGTTTTAATGTCGATGTAGAGGAACAAATGGATGTCGATCCTCCGCAGTCCCGTGAACCTCCGAAATCGAAAGCTGAGCCTAAGCCTGAGAAGATGGAAGAGGACAATCTTCCTCCAGAGAAGAGAGAGGCGACGAATGAAAAGAAGTTGGGTAACGAAGCATACAAGAAGAGAAACTTTGAGGTAGCGCTTCAACATTACAACAAAGCTGTAGAATTAGATCCCACAGAGATTACGTATCTATTAAATATCGCGGCTGTATATTTCGAGCAAAAGGAATATGAGAAATGTATCGCACAGTGTGAGAAAGCAATTGAAGTTGGCCGAGAAAATCGTGCAGACTTTAAAATCATAGCTAAAGCATTTACAAGAATTGGTCATTCGTATAAAAAAATGGAAAACTGGAAACAGGCCAAAGTGTACTACGAGAAGTCAATGTCTGAACATCGAACGCCAGAAATTAAGACATTGCTGTCAGACATTGATAAAATAATGAAAGAAGAAGAGCGTAAGGCATACATCGATCCAGTAAAGGCTGAAGAGGAGAAAGAACTGGGAAACCAGAAATTTAAAGCTGGTGACTATGCCGAAGCTGTTAAACATTATTCCGAAGCCATTAGAAGAAACCCCGATGATCCCAAATATTATAGTAACCGGGCAGCTTGTTACACAAAACTCGCTGCATTTGATCTAGGCTTAAAAGACTGTGATAAATGCGTTGAAATAGACCCGAAATTTATCAAAGGCTGGATCCGAAAAGGGAAAATTCTTCAAGGTATGCAACAGTACGCAAAAGCTTTGTCAGCGTATCAAAAGGCACTGGATTTGGATCCTACGAACACAGAAGCAGTGGAAGGGTATAGGTCCTGTGCGGTCTCATTGAGTTCTAATCCGGAGGAGGTGAGAAAGCGTGCTATGACAGACCCAGAAGTTCAGAGCATCCTTCGAGACCCAGCAATGAGACTGATATTGGAACAGATGCAGAGCGATCCAAAGGCTTTGCAAGAGTAAGTCCAATTATTTAATAAATATCTCTCAAATGAATTTAGCTTTTCAAATTTTAAATACATAGACTCCATGCGTAGCATTTAATATCAGCAGTATTTGGCCGATGAAATGACAGTTTATTACATTGAGATGAAATTCATATCGATGTTTTATTTTTCAGCCATCTAAAGAATCCGGACATCGCTGCGAAGCTACAGAAACTCTTGGAGGCTGGGTTAATCGCTATTCATTGAGAGTAACGTCGTTCTAACATGCATCATTGGATGCATGTGTATAGTTCTAGTACATAACATTCTCACGCTGCTGGGTTCCTTAATCAAAGAACAGCTTCAACCTCGGTCGACAATGCGTTCGTGCAGATGTTTCGATTGCACTTAAAGCGTACAGTTGAAGGAAGACTTTTACACTTCCCTTGAGTGCATTATATTTTTTCATGGTTATGTTAAAGATTTTAATTAGTGTTCTGCATTCTGGACAAAAGCCCTGAGTTAACGAGTCAAGGAATTTCTCTCTCCGTGTGACATCTGATGTATGCTCTGTGAGTTTGTAGGTAAGATGTCGCTTCGCTCTTCTGCAGTTCTGTAATGCGGATGCGTCCATATCGGGTGTGCAAAATATTACTAAATAAATTACATATAATGTACACTAAGTGACATATTATTTGCGAACGATAACCGGTAGGAAGAAACCACTAGTGCGATGAAGTGCGATTTCTAGGATTAGAGAACTGTGCAGAACTAATCGATGAAGTCAACTGAACAGAAAGAGCTCCACAGAAGTAGGAATTCATGTTAAAAATTGGACGTTCCATCAGATGCGAAATTTATTTTTTACAGACTTTATCTCGTATCGCTATCAATCTTGTTAAACTGCTTTTGTAGATTGTGCGAGATCATATGTATTAAGTGACTTTGTCATACTGTTCTCGATGACGAGTACATTATATTATCATGTTTGTGTAATTCTTATACATTCTTATCAGTGAACCAGAAGTTCTCGGTGTTACAATTGACAGAGCTGCTTTGAAGTGTTCCTTGCCAACGATGGTGGCTTCCAAATTCTCTTCGAGAGCTTTCATTGCTGCTTCGTGACAAATGGCCTGAACCTCTGCACCAGAGTAACCCTCCGTAAGCTCTACCAAGTCTTGGACGTTAACGTCTTCGGTGACTGGCATTCTTTTCAGTTTTATATTAAAAATTTCGAGTCTTGTTTCAGAGTCAGGTAGAGGAACATACACGATTCTGTCCAAACGCCCTGGACGTAGTAGTGCCTGCAATGGCGATAAATTTTGATATAAAATTTCTCTTTAATTATTATGTACTTATCTTGCATACCTTGTCAATTCTGTCTGGTCTATTTGTAGCAGCTACTAGCGTGACATTTCCCAATGCGGTTACTCCGTCGAGTTCTGTCAACAACTGTGCCAGAACGCGTTCTTGAACGTTACTTCCACTGTTGGCAGATGATGATTGTCTTTCACCACCAATGGCGTCGATCTCATCGATGAAAATTATAGAAGGTGCCACTTGTCTGGCTTTCCTGAAGATCTCACGTACTGCCTTTTCAGATTCACCGACCCACTTCGAGAATAGCTCGGGGCCCTGAAAAAGTATGCATAAAAACTCTGTGATTAACGGAAAACCAAGCTAATTACCTTAATATTCAAGAAATTCAGTTTACTCTCGGTAGCAAGCGCCTTCGCGATCATTGTCTTCGAGCACCCAGGTGGACCGAACATCAAGATTCCTCTCGGTGGTGTTATGCCCAGTCTTGTGAACGCCTCTGGATGCTTTAAAGGCCATTCGACAGCTTGCTTCAGCTTCAACTTCAAGTCATTTTGTCCACCAATGTCGGACCATCTTACATTTGGAACTTCCACTAAAACCTCCTTCATGGCGGAAGGTTTCACCACTGTAAGTGCGTACTTGAAATCTTCCATCGAAAGTGTCATCTCCGATTCCTCTCTTATTAAACCACAAGTTGTTTTATGCTGACGTTTACTGGCATGTATCGTTGCCCATGAACAAAGTCCATATAAATCGGCTCCTACAAACCCGTGAGTAATGAAAGCGATTTCCTTGATTTCCTCTTCTGTTAGATTATGTGACACTTTCACTAAAAATTTAGTGAGGATATCTCGTCGCATCATTGGGTTGGGGACACTCATCTCGAATTCCATGTCTATTCTTCCTGGTCTGCGGAGAGAAGTGTCTACTGAGTCTATTTTAGATGTTGTCGCCAAAATCAAAACACGTTCGTTGGAACTTTGGAGATCATCAAGTAGTTCTGTTAAGGTGGACAAGATTTTTCTTTCTTGATCTGTACTTGAGTTACTCTTTCTAGGACAGAAGATGTCAATGTCTTCTATCAGAATTAAACTTGGAGTGTTAAGTTTAGCTTTATTGAAGAGGTCACGTAAATTGTTTTCCGATTCACCAACGTATTTGCTGTAAATCTCTGAGCCTCGCATAGGAAACGTGTTGATATTATATTCGGATATTAAGCCTTCTGCCAACATTGATTTTCCAACACCAACCGATCCATAGAGTAATATTCCTTTTGAAATATTAAAACCCTTTATAGTTTTACACTTTCCAAGCACTACATTAATGACGTCTTTTATGTCTTCTATTAATTCACTGTATCCTCCTATGTCTTCGATAGTATACATACTTTTCTTAGGCACTTCTTTTTTACAATTATCGATAATGGTCCACTGTGTGGAATACAAAGCTTTATAAAACTGTACATTATCTTTCGTGAGGCTTAAATCACTAAGATCGTTAGGCAAATCTTTGTACAAGTTTTCCTGAACATCACTTGCGGATGATTTCTCGGGCTTGATATTTACTATTCTATAAATTAGTTTTCTTCCATAGTATGGTATGCTGATTTTGTTTCCGATGCAAAATATTTTTCCTTCATTATAATTTTTCATTAAAACCGTGAATTCAGCTTTTGCGTCTGGTGTCGGGTATTTCCCTGTATTTTCGAGAATAATTTCACGAGCGATGGATAAAGTGGATGTGATTTTCTTCACTTTCACCAAACCCTCAAGTTTATTTAATTCAATTGCTAAAATATTAAATAAATTTAAATGACAAATCAGAATTCTGGAGAAGGTACAAGTACTCACCACTTTTTGTCATTGATACGCTCGTTAACGTCTTATCATTAGAAGGCCACACCATTTTGACAACCACAGTATCATTAACAAAAAGAGCTACCGAATCTCCAATTGGTATATTGCAGATTTCTAAAGTACTCGGGGCAATAAAAACCAGATCGTTCAATGCATCTCGAGAAACATTTTTCAATGGCTCTAAAAAATCATTAAAATCCTATAGACCTAAATTATCGTACCTTCCGACTAGGTAATTTAACTTTTATTTTAAGCGATGTACACATTTGTAACATAAACACAGCACCTCTTAAAAAATAAAAATACCTTGAGATGTATAAGTTTCAATGGTACTATATATAATATTGTCAAGAATGTATCCATGATTCCAATTGTCTGTCGACGGTGGGCACTCGAGGGCATGAACGGACACATCTCTTTGCGTTACCAGTGCCTGACATTTCTCACAGGTCGACCAATTTGACAGACTTTTCCTTGACTTCGTAGCCATTCTACATCACAGAAGTATTCTGAAAATGAATAAAATATAATTACATTAACCAAAGGAACGGTGTCATCGACGAGTATAAACAGCAACACATATGAGTGAATTAGAGCGTAGTTCATCTCTTTGAAAAGAACTTTTAACAAATATCCTATCAAGTATTTCTACGATACTCGCAGTGTATCATTCAGGTTTGAAAATGTCTCAGAATGTGACACCACAAACCGTTACAATTTTGAGGTTACGACGCCGGTGCCATTTATCGCGTCGCACGCGATATTCCACTCGGCTCCAATCGGTAATGTCCGGGCGAAGTCGGAGGCTAAGATTCATGGCGCTCGAATTCAAAGACTGAAAAGTAATTCTTTACCTACTGAGTCGATACAAGAAGCTCAATAAAAACATAGAAAATCTCAGTCGGTAAAAGGTAAGCGTTGGCGAATTAGACGATTTAGATGCTTCAAAAACCCGAAGCGCTTACGAGCAAGTCTACAGGGATTGTAAAAGATATTTGAAGTTTCACGAGGACCACCTGCTGACCGCGAGATAACTGTGTTGGATCGTGAGTATGGATACAAAGAGCATAAAATATCGGCTTCGATTTGAAACTCTTTTTCGGCAGGGCCGAAATCGAGAGGTGGAGGCGATTTCGCGGACAAAAGGACAACTTCGCCGCCTCGAATCATGGCCGTCTCGCCTCCCCGAATTCCAGAGGCTGGATCCTTATTCTCGAGTTAGTCCTGCCTGCCCGCGACGAATCGGACGAAATTTTAACCTTCATGGAGGGAAGGCACTCGCTCGGATTTACAATGGTGGGATAAAGATGCAAGACTGCAAATGACTGCAAGTATTAAAGGATGACGTCACGTTTCCTTTGTCTGGTTAGGCGGCGAGTATGAAAAGGCGAATCTACGATTAATTTCGTTAACCCTGGCTGGTCACCTCGTTTTTCTACATTATCCTGGTTATCACTTTTTTTGTAACAACCTTGGTTTAATTTGTCGGAAATAAAACGCTTACGTCAAACCGAAAATGTCGGAGGGTGAGCTGAAAAAGAACGTCGAAGAATCATCGCGAAATTCACGGTCGTTTCAGAACTGGGAGAAGAAAAAAAAAGTGGCTAAAAATCAGTCGAGATGACGAAACGACTGGGGTGTTACTGGCCAGGGTCATTTAAAACAGTTATTTCAAATTGTGATTAACGATTATTGGTTCCAGGGAGACTGGCGATTGCCGGCTACAGGGTTCTCGACGCGACGATCAGAAGCGACCGGGAGGAACCAGAGGAGAGCTGGAGCGGTAACGAGTAAAGTCAGTCTTGGTCATGCAAATATTGCCACGTCTAGGTTTAGGTCTTGGTCTTGAATTTTTTGTTCGTCACTCATCTCGTTTATTACTAAGGCGAAAAGAATAGAAGCGATCGGAAGGGACTGGAATCGGTCAGAAGCCATCACGAGCTATCACAAGCGATCGGAGTACACTAGAAGCGATAACAAGCGATTAGAAGCAATCCTAATCGGCCAGCAGTGATCAGAATAGACCAAAAGCGATTACAAGCGCTCGGAAGTAATCATAATCTACCAGAAGCGATGAAAAGCGACCATAATCGACCAGAATCGACCATCGGATGCCAAGAGGAATCGGGAGGAACCAGGCGAGAGCGAAGGAGCCTTGGAGAGCAGCAAAAAGGGGCCCGTCTCTCCCACCAGCGGGCCTTGGGCGTCGATGCGAACCCCCGTGGTGGACGGGTGAGTGACGGACGACCGCCACGAGCCCCGACGTCCCGTGCACGGGTGATTAATGGACGCCTGTCAGCGGACGCCACCGCGTCTGAACGAGATCGCGGCCCGGCCAGTCTTCCCGTGGATCGCAACCTGCGTGGCCAGCCGATCGATCGATCGCGCGTTCTCGCGTCCGGCCCGATCACCGGCTCTCCTCGTCCTCGACGCCTCTCCGATGAGCGAGGCCGTGCCGGCCGAGTTCGCCTCCGTCGACCGCTGTATCAGCTGCACCGGCTGCACCAGCTGCACCCGAGGAGCCCTCTAGCACCTATCTGGACACCCTGCGCCGATGTTCTAACCCCACATCGCGCGCCTCCCCTAGACCAGAGACCTACTGTAATGAGATAATTTGCGGGCCGTCGTCGCCCGGGTTACCCTCTTCCTCGGGGGCCTTTCACTCGCCGCCGTCTCCTACAGTAGTCGCGCGATCCACGCATGGTGTCACCGATGAGAAGCACCAGAGGATGGTGGCTCCTCCTCGGCGGATTCGCGTTAATCTCTCTTGGAAACCCTCCAATAGGTAGGCGACCGCTCCTCCAACCTCGGGAGGGTCGCGAGACCCTTCCATCGTTCTTCGAATTTTAAACGACAATGTACAAGATGTTAGAATGGTCTTACTGGCAAATGTAGACTAGGCCTCGAGGGGCACGCACGTGCGGAGCTCCTCGGCACGCGTGGATGGAAACACACCTACTCGTGGGTGCATGTACTTACTGGTCTGAAATTTTACCCCAATGAGATCTTCGGATCTCATCGGACGTCATTTTTATCAAGCTTTTCTTATAAACAATTTTTTTGATCTTCGTAAGCAATGAAATGGGCGAGGAGACTTTCCTTAAGACCTCCGCAGTCACGGGGGAAAATTTCAAACGATTCGGTACACCCAGTTCGGTGAAAAGTTGCTTGAACGATCGATCTCTCAGAGACTACTTTCATATCACCTTAAGGGTCCTTCCTAGCTCGACAAATTCCATCCACTCTTGCACACGATACTTCGATAAGCATAGTCCGGCTCGCTATACTCACTATACTCACGTCCTACACGTGTGTGCATTTCCTACGGTCCTCAAGAATCCGTTTTGTCCAGCTTCCGGTCAGAGCGAGTCGGCGGTCGAGGGCGAACTCCACCAGGACGAGGCCCGTCAGCACCATTGTTGCGCCAGACGGGAGAAGATGATCGACGTCGGCTACGGTGAGTCCTGCATCCTGCAAAAGCACCGTCCAGGATATGGTGAGGATTAACGGCGAGAATGAAGGGGGGAGGCTGCCCCAACATTCAATACCAAAATCCATAATCCATCATCCTTAACGCGTGGTTACAATCACCCGACTTCAGGTGGCCACCAAACAATGGATCTTAATCTTCGATTAGCTTAACTTTTATCGGTGCACGATTGCACCGACTCAAGGTTAACTAATCCTGGTTAAGAAGTTTTACTCTAATCGCGGTTGGTGCAATCGGCCCTTAATGGCGATTTAGCTCAGCCTTCGCCAGGCGGTCGCGACCTCTCGACCCCTTATCACGCGGTTAATCAATTGACACCGTTGTCGCCGACGACACCAAGAGGACGCGTCACGTCCGGCGATTCGCCTCTACTCGCCGTTAATCGTCCTCCCTGGGTGGCACCTGATTCCTGGAGGACGTTGGATTAGCTATAAATGACTAGTGATAAGCGATCGACGATAAGCGTATGTACAGTCTCCGCGCACCCCTTGGGAGGCCAACGGTCGCTCGTCGGGATTTCGTCTCGTCGCCTCGTCTCCGCTTCATTGACCTCAATTGCGAGTATCGACTGGCGATTCCCTCGTTAAATCGCATTAATCGGACCCCCTTAGAAAGGGCGGCTCGATTGGTTCCTGGAAAGTGAGTTGCACAGAAGGACCGAGTGGTACGTCACGCCGGAATGCGTCTCGGCCGGGCTTTAAGGGGATGTGAAAGTGGCATCCGAAAGCTCAATCGTTCATAATACTTTTATATGAACCGGGTGTCTCAAATCGTTTCATAGTTTAAAACGTGAATATAGAGACCCTAAGGTAGGTCCTGAAACTCCCGAAGTTTCATTTTTTATAAACTATTTTCAAAATACCTATAAACAAATTTGAAAAGAATTTAAATTCCATGAGTTTCAGGACCTTCCTTATAGTCTCCCTATTCACGTAGTAAAGTTTCAAACCATTCGGTAAACCGAGTTGGGAGAAAAGTTTCATAAACAATACCTCTTCGACGCCACTTTCACATCACCTTAAGGTGATATGAAAGGGACATTCTGTGTATATAAAACGTGAAAATATTTATAAAACCTTTTCTCCAAACTGGGTGCGCAGAATCATTTGAAACTTCAGCACGTGATGGTCGGTAAATTTCATTTTTCACAAAAAAAAAAAATATGTCATGTTGGTTCCAGTCTAAGCTAGATAAAAAATTTTCTCTCGTGAAAAATGATATTTCACGAGTATCGCTCTTCTTTCGGGCCTTCCTAATCTCATGGTAAAGTTTCAAATGATTCGGTGCACTCAGTTTGAACAAAAGTTTTATAAATATTTTCACATTCTGATATATAGAGTGACCCTTTCATATCCCGTTAAGGCGATGAAAGATGAAAGTGGCGTTAATCGTTCGTGACACTTTTCTTCAAAGGGGGTGCATCGAATCTTTTCAAACTTTGCAACGGGTATGTGGAGACTCGAAGGAAGGTCCCGGCACCCATGGAATGATATCTTTTATTATAGAAAAAATGTTAAACCGTGTATAAATATATTTGAAGAAAAATTGTAATTTCACGGGTGCCCGGACTTTCCTTAGGATCTCTCCGTATTCGCATTGTCAAATTTGAAACGCTTCGGTAGCCCCAATTCGGCGAAAAGTTTCCCAAACGAGACCTCTTTGGCGCCACTTTCAAATCGCCTTAAACCGATTGACCCGAGATTCCACGAGTTCTCCTCTTTTCCTCTTCCCCAGGTACCGGCATTTATAGCTTGCAGGAGCGAGACGGCGGAAAGGACGATCTTCAGGGGAAGATAGCGAGAGAGCGAGAGAGAGAAGAACGCCGCGACGAGGGAGGACGCGCGACAAGAAGCACCCGTGAATTACCGAGAGGACGAGTGCCCACGCATTCCTTGCCCCACGCACCTCCGCCGAAAATAGCGCGGTTACATTATAGCTCCCCCTTTCTGCATCTAATTTAACGCGAGCCCTAAATCATGTGTGTTTTCAACGTCGATTCTACGTCGAATCTACGTCGAATCTCCATGACCCTTCGTCTCGCGGCGAGGGGCCGAGAGAGAAGCCGAAAGTCCTGGGGGATCGTTAACGAGCTCTCTTCCTTTTTCCAGGGATATCCGGGGACGTGATCCAGATCGACGCAGGACATTGTCGACGAATATGTCCGCTGTACGTCGAGGACGATCCTGGGGATCCCAGTCGACCCGCCGTCCAGGTAATCGTCGAGGGAGAGGACCAGTCGACGGAGTCGAGAGGAAGGATGGGGATGCTGGGAGGCTGATAAAAACGCGTGGAGAGAGGACCAGGACCGCAGGAATGCGCCGACAGGACTATATACGTCGCCTCGCGTAATCCGTGACTCATGCGTGCAGGATGCACCTGGTGCAAAAACACACCGCCTCCGATCGCCGGTCCCGTAAAAAACGGAGACCGCCAGGATCCTGCGATTCGACCCGATCGCCCGAAACGATCGGCCCGAACCAATCGCCTCGATGGATCGGCTCTCAATTGTTTCCTTTTTTTTTTCTTTTTTTTTTCTTCATTTTGAAGAACGGGGTGATAATGGCCCTGTGGTCGAATCGCGGTTTTCGTCCCGGTCGCTCGAGACTCGTGCGGAATGCGGTCACGCGATCTGCGGACACGAGCAAAGAGACCGCCCCGCAGACGTCGGGGCGATCCGGAGGAATTCCGCCGGCGGTTTTTGTGCGGAAAAATGCCGGCGACCGCGCGACCGGACGTTGGTCCTCCAGGACCCCTGGAGCAACTCGCGCCCGTCCGTGGGCCCCAAAAACGAGGAACGCTTTCTATGCTTCTCTCCGATTTTGCAAGAGACCTCGCGATATGGTAATAGGCTATCCGATAGGAAAAGAGGAAGAGGAAAGGGCGTCTCCTTATCGCCGTGTTTTTATTTTCATTTTCATATACTTCATTCTCTCTCATTCTGGCGTAGTCCCAGGAATATCAAGCGAGCGATTCCGCACTAAGGGAAAAGAAAATCGGATCCATTGCGCCAAAGAAATATTTCCTCGAGAAGTATCAATGAAATGTTTCGTTAATCTAGAGAATAACGATTTACCTCGGATTAACTGAAACAAGGAAATTCCGAAGAATCGTCGCGTCCGATTGTAATCAGAAAAGAAATTCACTGAACCGACGAAATATTTAGCTAATTCAAAGGATAATTATTTGACTGAACTCAAATAAATTGTCATAATTTCGCAGAAACGTTGGGTCCGATTTAATCGAGTTCTAGTGAAAGAATTGTTCTTCGAATTAACGAGATATCTCTTTGGCACTATTCAGAGAAACGATTCTCTGCTTTAATGGGATGTGAAAGTGACACTCGAAGAGTCAATCGTTAATGGAACTTTTCTCCGAACTGGATGTGCCGAATCGTTTGAAACTTGACAAAGTGGAGGCTTTAAGGAAGGTCCTGACACTCGTGAAATTTAATTTCTCTTCTAAGAAATTAAAAAAAAAAACAACGTATTTCACGAGTTTCAGGACCTTCCTTATACTCTCCATATTTATGTTGTAAAGTTTGAATCGATTAGGTGCGCCTAGTTTGGAGGAAAGTTTCATGAAGTAGAACTCCTTGACGCACTATCACACCCCGTAATGACATTTTCTTTTTCTCAGTGCATGTCCTACGTCCGTGGTCCTACCTCGGGCTTTCCTCTCGGGGAGTGGGGAGGAGCTGCATGTAAAGGACCGAAAGGGTTGCGTGACGCATTCCGACCAATCGCCTGGAATGCGGTCGAGCCGCGGACGAATCGCGCGATCGGCCGGTCCAAGACTTTTATGGGGAGTACCCCTCGCTTCTTTGTCAGTAATTGTCTCTCTTGCATCATCCGGTGTCGGATGATCCCGAAGAGCTGCGCCCCCCGAGGGAGAAGAGATCGGCCGGTAGGGCGATGTGGAGTCTCGTTAGAAAATAGTTAAAAAAATTAGCATTAGTCTCGATAGAAAAAAAAAATTAGCGTCGAACGGTGAGCGACAAGACAGACTTCCCAATCCGAATCTCGTAAAGGAACGCCGAGAGGGTTCCCAGAGAGCGAGGTACCTTATACCTCACCACCTAAGGCCAAGGAGAGGTCGAGTCCCCTCGAGGGAGGCGCCTCCGAGTATAAATACGATTACCGATCCTCGACCGTGATAAACCCTACCGGGCATTAAATCCGGCCTGGGCTGCGGAGGTACGGCCCTTCGAGGGCTATTTTTGATGCAACCCGCTCGCACCCACGCGCTCCTTGGAAATCGGAGGAAACCACTCGAGTGCCGCGGTTACTTAGGTCCGTGTTCGTACCTCGTTTTCGGCGTTAAGAAGCGTCCTTTACCCGTCATTAAGGTGATATGAAAGGGTCATTCTATATGTATATATATAAAATGTGAAAATATTGATACAACTTTTTTCTAAACTGGGTGCACCGAGGCATGTGAAACTTCGCCACGTGATTATAAAGGCCCTAAGGAAGAACGCGATGCTCGTGAAATTTCATTTTTCAAAGAAAAACGTCTTTTATTTATCCTAGACTAGAACCAAGATCGCAGTTTTTTGTGAAAAATGGAATTTCATGAGCGTCGCTTTCTCCCTTAGGGCTTTCGTGATCACGCACTAAAGTTTCAAATTATTTGACACACCCTGTTTGAAGAAAAGTTTTATGAATATTTGGACTTTTTGATATGTATATGTGACACTTTCATATCACCTTAATTAGCGGAAATGCGTAATTTCATGCTGAAGAGAGGCACGAGTGCCTCCCTGTTAACTAATTTCCTCTTCTTGGTGGAATCGTCGATCATCGTTCTTGTGACGAGGTTCCTCACGTTTCTGATATATTTTTGAATGCTCACTCTTTTTCGGGCATTTATCGCGCTTTTTCATACCTTTCCGTGCTCTTTCGTGGTTTTTCACGATGCGTTCCGCTTGCGGCGAGCCTGGTTGGCGTGGGCGTCGGGAAGCGGCCGCACCGCGAAGAGGGAGAGGAGGCGAAGGTGGAGGCGATGTGTTTTGCGTCCTTGGAAGGTCGACCCGTCCCGGGTCACCGATCCGGCTTCTCAGAACCGGGCTCTAAATCCTCGCGGCGAGTCCTGCGGCCCGATGTTCCCGATGGTCCCGATGGTCCCGATAGTCCCGAGGGAGAGGCGCACGGTAGCCGCGCGGCCCAGCGGGGGCGCGTTACTCGCAAGCATTACTCACGGCGCATTACTCACCCTGGACCCGCCGGCGCCACTTATATTTACCTCGAGAGAGCGAGAGAGAGAGGGAGATATCGTTTACTCCGGGGCGAAGGGCGAGCGGAATCGGCCTTGGCGGCCGATCGCGCCCGGGCGAACGCCCGGAGGCGCCGAGGAATGTCGCGGAGATGTCGCGGATCGATAGTCCCCTGGACTCCTCGGATTCGATTCTGCCCGTTTCGCCGAAAAATCGACATACAAGTACCTGAATAGGTACCATTGCATCGAACATGCGACCGATTCGCGAATATCGACACTGTTGTATGGAATGCGGGGCGATATGTTGAAATTTCACCACGTCAATTGTTAAAGCTCTGGTGAAGATCCACTTTTTATAATCGGTACATGGACATTTCTGTAATTTTGAAATAATAATTAAAAGGGGTGTTTCATGGGTGTCGGGACCTTCGTCAGGGCTTCCACGTTCTAGTGGTGAAATTTCAAACGATTCGAAGAAAAGTACCATAATTGATTCGTTAGACGCCAGGATTTATGTCGCCTTAATGCTGGGGATTTTTTCTTTCCGTCCAGATTTGTCCTCCCGACTGGCACTGCAGGCCCAGCTCCGCCAGACTCGAAAGGGTCTCCACTCTTCAGGGTGTCACCGTCGTCGAGGCCGTCGATACCTGCGATTGCATTCCTAGACAACCCTGCAGCCGAGAGTCGTACACCCACGTCGTGCACCCTGGTACCCCTCATCAGGTCGACATGGACGTAGGCCTCTGCATGGGCCACTGCAACAAAGGTGATTCGATCTTATATATTTTCGATATTCCGCCATTTCGATAAGGATATCTCTCATCCATCGTCATATCAAATAATGTTCATCTTCTACATTTCTCAGTATTAATTAATGATTTTCTTCCATGAAGACCTGGGCTGCAAGCCTTTGAGGAACAGGACGATTAGCATCGTTGGACCCAACGGTACGTGTAGATGCTGGATATAGAAATTCTTCGAGGTGGGCCTTGTATTATCAGATGTCTTATCTATTTCCCAGGTGACGAGGTACACCAGGTCATCGCCGAGTGCGGATGCGGCGGCGATTGTTACAGGATGAACCACGTCGAGACCGTCCTGGACTTCAGCGAGGTGGAGATCACTGAGGGAACCAACACGACGGACGTAAAGCCGGTCGTCAGGGTGGATTGACGTTTATTGACAACGATCGTTATTTCCAATAGCCCAAGTACAAAGACAATCGTAACGACCGAATCCTTTCTCGTTTGCAGACCATCGACGTGGGCCAATGCATCGGCGGGTGCCCTGGAAAGGAGACGGAAACTTGTTTGCTGAGAGACAAAAAGGAACCCTCGAGGTGTTTGGCTGGGCTTTACTCAAAACAGCATTCCTGTATGCCAGCCCGATTTAAAATCCACGAGTATAGGTAATGACCGAGCGAAAGATCTGCCAGCTGAGAATTTCACCAACCGGTGTCGCTTTATCGGAATTTAACGCGAAACTTTTCGTTCCGTCCAGGTCTCGCAGGGGATCGAAACGGGAGATCATCGCCATTACGCAATGTGCTTGCGTCTAGCTCGAGTCATGTTTTACCGATGAACAGTGCGAATTAATTAAGGGCCACCAGGTTTTCATTAAGGCTACCGATACGCAGTTGAACGTACTTTATCGTTCCTAGACATATGATATCCCGGGTAATAAAATTCCGATCAAGTTTTTCAGTACTCCCGGCTCCTCCTGATTATCCGACACGCCTTATCCTTAGAAGACGTTGACGTTTCTCCTCCAGAACGAGGTTTCCCGATATCCGTGTTTACTCTGCGTTCCTCTTCAAGATTCATGCTCATCTCCGGAGGGGATCTAGGCACGCTTCGGCGGAAATTGCAGAAAATTGTACGAAGATCCACACTCGGAAGAAACGAGGCTAACGAGGCGAGGAAGGTACGATAACTCCGATTACATGGACCTCGTTAAGGTCGATTCATCCTCGGCGACGCGTTTCGGTATTGAATTCATACGATCGACTTTCGCATGCAAAATTTATGGTTTGGTACATTATTTTCAAACATTGACCAATGTCGCGACTTCGCAACAGTGAGAGCTTTTTCATGCGGATCTATTCGTACACGAAAAAAATTCGGTATAAACTCCAGAATCGAGTCCCTGCACACGATCAACTTTCGCATGCGACATTGACAGTTTTGTATAAGACTTTAAAATGTGACGTGACTTTGCAACAATGTGAGATTGTTCTTGCGAATATATTCGCATTCGAAAAAAATTCCGTATGAACTCCAGAATCGAGTCCCTGGACACGATCAACTTTCGCATGCGAAATTGACAGTTTTGTATAAGACTTTAAAATGTGACGCGACTTTGCAACAATGTGAGATTGTTCTTGCGAATATATTCGAACGCGAAAAAAAATCCGTCTGAACTAAATTCTCGAGTGAATCGACCTTTAGACGCTAAGGAAGTCGTAAAGCGACGAATTGGGCCGAGTGGGCGAGAAATCGGTGAAATTTTCGCCGCTCGTTTCGCGGCGTTGACTAGTCATCCTGAGGATATCCCTAATCAGACAACGTGGACGATTGGCGGTCCGATGAGGAGCCAGAGAGAACGAGGTAATTCCCCCTCGTCGACTTCGTCCTAGTGCTCGCTCCAATTTCTATGATCTTTTAATACTCCTTCCAGGTATTGTAGAAAAGCGTCTCCGGGGAGAGTTCGAGATCGGCGGCGCCACGGCCGGGAATGCAGGAGGCGACCGAATTAAATCGGCAGCGGGTACGCAAATCTGGTTGGCGCCTCGGCGCGATGTACTCCGGATTTCTTGACGGCACGGCACGTCCGGAATGCAGCAGAAAGAACGACACGAATAAAACCCCGGGTGCGTGGGTAGAGCTCGTAAATACGAGCCCGGTGATCCACGGTGTCCGTCAACGCGCAAAACGGCCGATTATCACGCGCGGTAAAGATGTCACGGCCGGCCCACATAACTGGGCGCTTACTAATCCGCGAAATTTAGGGAAGGCTGCCGATCCCCTTTTCGGCGCCGCCATTGATCTCCCGCAAGTCGCGAGTCGAAGCCAACGACGAAGAACCGGACGCCTTCCGCGTTCTCTCCCGAGTTCTTTTTCGAATTTCCCTCAATTCTTCGCATTGCGTTTGTAGATTAAGCGTTACGTTTGTAGATAAAGAGTTGCGTTTATAGATAAGCGTTGCGTTTGTAGGTAAAGCGTTGCATTTGTCGATTAGAGAGATGAGAAGATGAGTTGACCGGCGAACAGGTGGTTGGACCCGTGCGATGCGAGGCGCCTTGACTCTTGTGACGCGATTTTTTTTTAGCCTTTTCTTTTGGCATTAAGGGGATGTGAAAGTGGCATCCGAAAGCTCAATCGTTCACGGAACTTTTCTTCAAACTAAGTGAACCAAATCTTTTCAAACGTCACGAAGTGAATATAAAGGATATAAGGAAGGTCCTGATACTCATGAAATTTGATTTTTCGTTAAAAAATGTTAGGAATACATATGAACAAGTTAAAAAGAAAAATTGAAATTTCATGGGTGACCCTTTCTCAAAGGCTCCACATTCACGCGATAAAGTACGATAATGATTCGGTGCACCTAGTTTGGAGAAAAGTTTCATAAACGAGACCTCTTTAACGCCACTTTCACGTCACCTTAATTAGGATAAATGGAATTGAAGGGTCCAGAGGGTACGCGGATTCTCTCTTACATTTTCGGTCCCCCTCGATCGAGGCTTTTCTCCTGTGGTTAATTAGGAAAAGCCGAGGTAAAGGGTCCAGGAGGGGAGAGCCGGCGCGGGCGGCTGGTCCCGCTCGGCGGGGGAGGCTCCCGGCAGAGCATAAAGGTGACTCCTCGCGGCCGGGACCTCCCATATGCCACCTAGCCGATAAACGCGGCGCTGCTCCTTCGGGCCGAACTCGCGATCCGCCGCACCCGCTCGTGGGGTCCACCGGAAGGAACACCCCTGGAGCCCACCGGAGCGACCCCGACCTCGAGACCGGACCTCCTCCCGCCACCCAGGCCAGGAACCAGCGGAAGGAGCGACGCCGTCGCCGAGGATGGCGCGGAAGCTCCTGCCGCTCCTGCTCTTGCTCGCCGTCGTCGGGGACTCGCATCCCCTGGACCCGCCCAAGGACGAGGACGTGGAGGACCCGCTCGACCCCCGGCAAGACCAAGCCCTCGGCAGGCTCCGATCGGTCCGTCTCTTCGTCCACTTTTTACGTCCTTTCTACGTCCACTATACATTAATTTTACGTCCTTTCAACATCTAATTGGCATTAACTTTACGTCCTTTCTACGTCCAGATTACATTAACTTTACGGCCTTTCTACGTCCAATATACGTTAACTTCACGTCCACTTTACGTTCATTCTACGTCCATTTCGCGTCCTCCAGTGTACGCGCGTTAAAAAGTGGATCTTCCGACGCGTCACCCCTGATTTCACCTCGGCATCATTGAAAATCCTACTTGGAGTCCTCTCAATTTTCCTAGCACCTATGTGCCCCCTACGTGCCGGGTACGACCCGTTTCTTGCCACGAAGAGGAAGGGTTCCGCTTCGTTGTGGGTGCGCCAGTGTTTCCAGTCTCTGAAACATTCCTTGGATTTTCAGATCCTCGGCATGCCGAGCCAAGTGGACAAGTCCGTCAGTCGCAAGAACCCTCCGCAGTTCATGATGGAACTGTACAACACCATCGCCGACTCCAGCGGCATCATCAGGGCCAGGAACCCGTACGATGCCAAAGTCGTCCGCAGCTTCATCGAGAGAGGTAACCACCTGGAGAAGCACCCCGTAGTCGATTTTTTAGGAGTCCACGAACCCAGCCCCTCGTTTAACGCTTTCGTTCCTATATTCGTAGATAGTTCCATGCCCGGGTACTACCTCTTCAACATTTCCGGCCTGGAGGCGAACGAGACCGTCCTCGAGGCGGAGCTTCACCTCTACAGGAGGAGGACCCCCACGAGGATAATGCACCCTACGATTCTCTCCTTGCCGTATTACCTGGTAATTAATTGGTCGTTATTCGTCCAAGAGGGCTCATGGAGGTTAACTCGACGATCCCTTCGCAGATCAGGGTGTACCAAGTCCTGGAAGGCAACGACCTGGACGAGCCCGACGTCCACCGACTGCTAACCGTCCACTACGTCGGGGCGCATGAATCCGGCTGGCAGGTGAGTCTTGAGATTTTTTTACGATGACAACAGATCCGAGATGATAAATAATTATTACATGATGATAAAGAAATCTGAAATTATAATATGATGATAACAAAACCTGAAAAATTAATACGCGATGATAAGAGACCGAAAATCATTATGCGATGACTGACTCCGCCACCCCAAACAGGTGTTCAACGTGAAGCAAGCTGTCCTGGCATGGATGACCGGGACGCCGAACCTGGGGCTGCTGGTGACGGCGTCGACCCTCTCCGGGGACCGGGTGACGGTGGATTTCACTCGCAGGACCGACTACCACCACGGGAAGCAGCCCATCCTGGTGCTCTTCGACGACGACGACGACGACGAGTACAGGTACTTGACGGAGTCAGAAACGGCAGCCGACCGGATGGGCGATCGTTCCCGAAAACACGAGAGACAGAAGAGCGACCCGGAAGAAGCCTACTCGGACTACGGCGAGAGCTCCGGAGGGTCGAAGTTCTTCCGGAGGCAGAAGCGAATCGAGGCGCTCTGGAGAACGGAGGAGAGAGATGAAGAAAGCCCCGAAGACCTCTCGGGGAACGGCGCGGAAATCGAGGAGGGGACCAGACGTCGTCCTCGAGAGACCGAGACCTCCAAGAGAGACCGCGAGATCGCCTCCAGGAAGACCTCGGTACCTTCCTTGCTGAAGTCGATAGACATTTACGAGCGTGCCGTCCTGCGCGAGGCTCTAGATCAGCGGAGGAAGGAAGAGGACCGAGGGACTCGGGTTAAAATCGAGGGAAGAGCGAAGAGGTCCCTGAAGAGGACCTCGAAGAGGTCTGCGTCCGAGGGCGCGGTCTCCAACACGACCGAGTGCGCTAGGCACGAACTTTACGTCGACTTCAAGGAAATCGGTTGGTCGTCCTTCATCATCGCCCCGAAGGGGTACTACGCGTACCACTGTAAGGGCCTCTGCGACTTTCCTTTGAGCCAGGTGCAGCTGCCGACGAACCATGCCACCGTCCAGGGCATCGTCCACAAGATGGGCCTCGTCGAGGGCGTCGAGATGCCCTGCTGCGTACCCACTAAGCTCCTCGGCGCCAGTATCCTCTTCTACGACGACAACGAGAACGTCGTCCTCAAGGTCTACGAGGACATGATCGCCGACCGCTGCGGATGCCGCTAAACGCCCAGGGACTGAGACTTCGAGAGTGGGAACGATTAATCTTGAGTATACGAACGGTTCGTCGGATCATCTCGGGGAAACTCGAGAGAAATGCCGATATCGACATTTATTCGGCCATGCGCAAAAAAAGATTCGGTCGAATCGAGCTAATTTTTTGACGATTCAAGAAAAATATTTTCAAATCGAGTAAATTTCTCGGAGGTTCAACCAGAACGTGGTTGAATCGAGTCAATATTTTTTATTGTTCAATCAAGAGTTTTTTTTTTTAATCAATCGAATCCAGATCGATTAGTTCTCGATCAAATTCTTTTTCTGCGCGCCCAGGACCGATTTCTTCCACCGTTCGATCGTAAGGAGTCGAAATTGCACGATCACGAGTCCTGTCGTTCGTTCCGCCGTAACGAGAGCGAGATACTTGTAGAAAGCACCGAAGGATAATTGGAGAAAGCTCTCCCAGGTGCGGGAAAAAGTCAGGCGCGCCTTCGTGGCCGCCATTTTGATTTCCTTCGAGCCCTGGGCGGCCTCGTACGAGTCATTCCTACGAAATGCAGATCGCATCGCGCTCGACGTTATTCTTGTACATATAACATTCCTAGACGCGTGTAGCACGACATTAAGTACGAGAGAACAGCGATCATTGCCCAAAGCGACGCGAAAATGACAAGGGTAGTTGACTAGCGTCGAAGACAGCGACCGTCGCCGCCATTTTGAATTCTCGCCTCGCCACGGCGCTCGCTTGGACCGCCTCATAAAATCGGGATTTTCTCGAGAAACCGCGCGTACCGGAGGGAAACGATCAAGACAAAAGTTGCGGGTCATCTTATCCTGGACATCTTCCGTTGAGGACGTTTCCCTCCAGGACGCAGCGTTCGCGGGAGAAATGACGTATTTCGCGTCGGTGCGACGACCGACCCTCCCCCGCGTCGCGCGGGCAATGGCCGGCGTCCTCCTTGTACCTCGTAAGAGTAAATCTATAAATATCTATATTAAATTATTAATCCCCTACGGGAGGTGGCTGGATCGAAGGGCCGTGTATATAGAGTAGTACTAGCACTAGGATTTATTTATAGCCTAAGCGGGACAAAATAAAGGCGTATTTAAGCGAGTGGAGAGAGCGGTTGTCCCTTGACCCCCGGCCCGCGCTCGCGATCGAAATACGCCGAGGCTCGGAAATATCCCGCGAAATGGACGTCCCTCCGTTTTGTCGCGACGCGAGGGCGTCGGTGTTTTTTCGGAGCGTCCGACGAACCGAAAACCCGTCTCCTACGTAAATTACCGAAGGCGAGTCGGACGACAGGTTCGGCGCCATCGAGTCGATGATACGACCGGTGGAATGCGACCGCTACCGGTGTTAACACCTCCCCATTTTATTACGGACGCATTCCGGACGAGGAGCTTCCTCTCTTCCCCTTGATTCCCTGCCTCTTCCTCCAGAGGAACCCATAAAGAGACCCCATATCGCGCGATATCAAACCTTATCCTTAACGAGCGTATCGAGCGATTAAGGCAACACGAAAGTGGCATCTAAGAACTCACTTCGACTAAATCTTTTCCTTAGAATACCCCGAATCCCTTAAAATCTCACCACGTGGCCATAAACATTCCATGGAACTCTCGCCAGACTCGAGAAATTCCATCGCTTAGAAAAAAACGTTCTAAAATGTTTATAAAATAGAAGAATTAAATTTCATGACCGTAGGGATCTCCACATTCAGGAGATAACACATCAAATCATCGTCCTCGAAATATCTCGCTGATACTTTACAAGACTTTACACGGCTTGAATCGAGGATTATTGCCGGAAACGCGGCGTTTATTTTACGCGGCATTAAGGCATTGTTTCGGTATCGTGTATTTTGTGAGTACCTTGTCGATTTCGTGTCCTTGTTTGATTACGGCATTATCGGGCCGTTGTAATTGTCTTTTCTTTAGCATTGAGAGATTTTTTTAGCTTGAGAGATTTCTGTATATTCTGTATAGCGCCTCAAGTCGTGGGTATTACTGGGTCAGTGTCGTTCTTTCTCTCTCGATAGGTCCGATTGTACCTATGAATAATTATATCGATAACGGATTAATCGGGCGAATCGAGCGGAACGACCTGCGTGCTCGCGACGACCGGTTACCTGATTTGCATATCTGCACGCCGTTACGCTCGCGTGCCGCCTCGCGCTGCATTCCGCGCTGATGCATCTCCGCCTATATTTAATTCCTGTGGGTGTATTTTCGAATGGTCCCGGCTAAAAATAACCGGGACGCGTTCTCTGCGGCATTCCACGCGTCGTATTTAGATCCGGGAGGTGTAACCAATGCTGTAAAGGATACCCTCGTTTCGCCCGCCCTTCCTCGAGAAGCGACCATACACGTCCTTAAGGTGTTATGAAAATGGCGCGAAAAAGGTCTCGTTTGTAAAACTTCCCTCTGAACTGGGTGTACATGGAGGGTGTGTATCGACAACGTGAATATGGAAATCATAAGGGAGGTTCCGACACCTATGAAATTTCAATTTTAAGAAAACTTCTCAATTTTAAAAAAAAAATTAAAAATCGTTTATATAGAAATTTAGGAAAATATGAAGTATCACGGGTAATAGGACCTTTGATGTGAAGGTGATGTTTCAAACTATGGGAGTTTATGTTCACGAGACGATCCGGTGCGCGCTGTTTGGGGGAGAGTTCCGTAAGCGAGAAATCCTCAGGTGCGGTTCCGCGCGACCGTAGGCCCCGAAAACGAGATCGGCTCGGCTTCTCGAAAGGGGCTCGGCCAGGTATGCCACCTGGAGGCCTCGGAATCGGAAAAGGGGAAGAGAGGGTCCCCTCGGGTGCACGGACCTCCGAGGGCCGTTTCCGGGAGGAGAGACACTCGGTCCCGAGGAAGAAAACCGACGGAGAGGGAGCGGACCCGGCCGAGGGGGGGCGAGAGAGATAGGCACGGGGCGAGGTCGTTAATATTTAGAGAGAGAGGAGAGCGAGGGAACGGGAGAGAGGAGAGCGAAGCGGGGCCCTAAGCCCGACAACGACGTAGTGTTCCGTCATCCGACGCTACCTCTCCGTCTCGTCTTCTCGCTGCCCTTTCGGCTCGCTTTCCGAGGCGTATATTTACACTTATCGCCGACTTTCGACTCTTTTCATGTAGCCTCGGGACGTTTCCTTCCTCGCGAAGTGCGACTTCCGCCGGTGTTCCTGGCCGAGGCTCGATTTGACGTTCCCGGCGCGTCGCGACGCCACCGAGGCGCGATTTCGTCGATTTTTCTCACCGTCAAGGAGTCCATCCGTGATTTACGCCATGTCGCGGTGAATTTGTGATTTCGCTGATTTTTCACATCGTCGAGGTTTGATTCGACGCGTAGCGACGCCGTCGAGGCGCGATTTCGTCGGTTCTCATCGACGTCGAGGATCCTATCCGTGATTTTCGCCATGTTGCGGTGATTTCCTGATTTTGTCGATTTTGCTCATCGTCGAGGTGCGATTTTGTCGATTTTCCTCGACGTCGCGATGTCCTGAAGATGAAGTAAACCTCGAAGGACCAGGAGATGCGCGAATATGGAGAGATCCTTTGCTCGGAGTCATCGCCTCTCCTCGGAGCGTTCCCTCGTGTGCGGTCGTTGAAGTCACCGGAAATCCTGGATTCGCGGGGTGCGCCGAAATCGCGGCAAAACGAGAGACCGGGTCGCAGGACGAGGACGAGCCGTGCTTGGGAAAGCGGAAGAAGAGGATGTACGGTGCTACACCTTGAAGAACCTCCCGAGGAAACATGAGGACAGCCTCCGCGGTCTGCGCGTGCGCCGTCTTCTGGATAGCTTCCGCGGCCTCGAGATCGGCCGATGATTATTATCAAGTAAGTGTCTTAATGTTTTTAATTTTCCTGTTTGTAGACAAGATCGGCAATTTTTAAGGCTCTTCGGGATGTTTCTTCGAGGCTTTAGAGGTTTGCCAGGAGTGTCCTCTAGACGCGCTCTTCGGCAGCGTTCTTTAGAAGCGTTTTCCGGCAGCGTTAAAAGCGCTCATTAGCCGCGTTCTTTGGCAGGGGTCTTCGGAACCTTGGAAGTTCCTCGTTCTCGCTCTTCAAAGGAGACCCGTCCTCCTGGCTCGCCGACACCTGCCTTTCCCTGGACCCTTCCGACCCTGGACCTGGAATAATGGCGATGCAGCCAAGGGCTTTCCCTTCGAGCACTCGTCGCGTACTTGAAATGGAAACGCAGTCAGGAGAGCGGATGCCGAGCGGCTACGCCACTGGAGGGAAAACGATCTCGCCGCCCGCGGCTCCTCAGAAGTAGAAATATTCCATCTCTCGCATCGTTGAGTTCTCTTCCCTTCCCTTCCTCCGGCATCCCGTGCCGACCTCGAGCCAAACGCGGCACCCTCTGATCTCTCGCCGCCTCTTGGCTTCCAACTTCTGCGCCGACGATCGCCGCTACCGGTCTTCCGGAGTGTCTAGACCTTTGCCGATGTACATCTGCGGGAAAATTGCATCTCCACCTACGACGCGACGACGACGGACGAGAGGTCGACGTCGAGCCAAACGCGACGCCCTCTGATCTCTCGCCGCCTCTTGGCTTCCAACTTTTGCGCCAACAATCGCCGCTACCGGTCTTCCGACGTGACCACCCTGAAAAAGAATGATTCATTGAAACAAAGAAATATTTCATTAATTCAAAGAATAATGATTTAACTCAAATAAACATCGAATACATTAGATGCAACGTTTCTTCGTAATTATGACAATTTATTTGAGTCAATTAATTATTCTTTGAATTAACAAAATATTTCTTCGGTTCTATGAGTTTCCTTTCCGAGTGCAGACCTTTAAGTACCGATCTTGATTTACAGGGAAGTCGCCTCTCGACCGAGTACGATGGACGAAAGACCGACGATGCATCGACGACGACCACCTTGGACTTCTTCAAGGTCCGGAGGAAGCGCGACGGCGTCGTCGAGGAGAGGGTGGACCTGCTTCCTGCGAGGCGTCCTAAACATCGTCGTCGAGGCAGATGCAAAAACGAAGCTTCTTGCGGTGGGCTCCGCAAGAATTCGAAAAAAAGCCAGCAGCTTCAAGGTAGTCACGAGGAGTCCTCGGGTCGGGCGGCGCCGTCCAGGGCGTCGGAGGACCCTCCTAGAGGAGGCGTCGACGCCGACGAGGTTCCCGACCGCCACCTGAAATCCATCGCGGACTTGTTGATGCCAAAGATATTCCCAAAGCGAGACGAGGCGCAGATTTACCCAGAATTTACCGACCCGGTTCCTGTGGAGGTAACGGAGGCGGATGAGGTCGACCATGAAGAGGTCGACGGAGTGGTCGAGTCGAGACCCGATTCCTCCACGATTTCCGGAATTTTCGGCGAGACGACCGAGCTGGATATCTCCATGGAGAACGTCTACAGAAGTGGCCATCTCCTGGGTAGAAACATGGAGTTTAAGGAGGGCGTCTCTTCATGGAGGAACCAAGAGAGGAGGATCGGGAAGGACTACCTCGAGGGTACGATCTCGTCCTCCATTTATGCGCCGATCGACGAGCGGGTTTCTCTTCACGAGAGCCTCGCTGCCCTCTTCTCCAGGCTCTTCCGCACCCTGAAGAACGGCACCGTAGATGGCAACCGGGAACTCCTGGACGATTTCGAGTTTGGAAATTCTCTCGAGGACGACCTCTGCCAGAAGTGGCTGGACTGCAAGGATAAACTGGAGGAGGCATTTCTGGGTAAAGGAACTCATCCACGGAATTATTAAAAATAGATAGACTAAAGATAGACTCCTCGCGACTCGATTTCAGCATGAAATTTCACTAAAAAAAAAATATATATGTATTCTAGGTTCTAGTCTGGGATAAATAAAAAAAATTTGTCATTAAAAATCAAATTTCACGTACACCACATTCTTCCTTAGGGCCTCTATAATTACATTCTGAAGTTTCTAACAATTCGGTGCATCCAGTTTGGAGAAAAGTTTTATAAATATTTGAATAGTCTATGTATACAGAATGACCCTTTCATATCACCTTATAAAAAGTCTTTTAACACTAATTGTAAGACGGGAGGGTCCGAGACTGCAAGACCAACACCGATCGACTCGCCATAATTATTTGATATTTGATCGATATTTATACATATCATTTTTAAATTTAGGGCCGCTGGTCGCCCTGCCAGGCTGTCCTTGCCAATACCCCAGCAACATTTTCTACGACGATAAAATCTGGGACGAACGGCACAGGAGGCACTTCCGGTGGCGCGACGTAAGCGGCGATTCGGAGAGGCTCGACGTCTACAAACCCGGCGCGAGTTATTGCGTCCGCTCTTTGGTGGCCCAAGGAAGTGGAAGTGCGGCTGCTCAACATTGTTGCTACGACAGAAGAAGAAGATTGTTGACGAGAGGTTCCGGCGCCGGGACACCCAACTTCGTCAGCCCGGAAGTCTCCGTTCTGCTCCACGAGAGGATCGACGTGCTGCCCTGGAGACTCTGCAAAGGAGATTTTTCTAGGCACATTATCTTACGATTTCACGATTGCATGGTTTACATATAGAAGTAATTATTTAATAAATAATACCCGTTTCAGGTTCAACAAGGTTCGACCACCGAACAACGATAATCGATGCAAGGCGAACCCGGACGACGAGGAGTACCAACGCCAAATGATGAATACAAAATACTACTGAAGTACAAGCAGACCAAAATACAAACCCCTCTTAAGGGCGCTACACCCGCAACAATGTAATCTGCGCAATTAAATCGAGCTCACGTACAGTGGAAATTAAACCTGTACGGATGGGTTTGCACAAGACTTATCGCAAGAATTTGTGGTTACGTGTGTGGCCGCCTTTATTTTCGACACTCGAGTCCACTCGGGTTTAAGTAACCTTAAGTAATGTCATTGCATAATTTACTTAACTTATTACTAGGTGTAGTGACGGAGAGACCGTGTACGTTTACCTGGCATGTAATAGAAAATACATGTAAAGTGGTATACAGTTATTACACCTTTCTCTTTTTTTGAAAGATCGAAAATTTCGCAAATTTCAAGACTTTTGTTAGAACCCCCACATTCACCTGTTAATGGTAGAATGGTAGATAATAGGTAGGAGCATAATGTGGGTCTAAATACTTTTACTTTTTAACATGGGGATTAGCAACGACCATGTACTTGGCGAGGTTGTTTTTACACGGATTTAGACTACCGCGGTCTTCGGTACCGTAACGAGGAGTCCCCTGGGGTCTGTTCTAGCGAGGCAGAAACCGGTTTGAACGAAGGAAGTCGCACGAGTCGCGCGCGAGAGAGGTAGAGGGCGCGCGCGCGAAAGAGAGAGAGGGCGCAAGGCAGAGGGAGAGGGCGCGACAAGGACGGATGTCGACCAAGTCGATTCGCGTTCCCTGAGCGTCGCAGTCAGTCACCATGGATACCGCTTGCAAACAGAGCACGTAACGTGGCGCTCGTCGTACCTTTCTTGCCGTTCCTTCCTTAGGTGCCGAGCACGCCGACAGTGCTTCTCCCGCGATGGACTGGAGCACCGACTTGGACCTCTCCGCGAAAAAGGTGAGAAACGAGAGATTCTTCCCCATCCTTCGAGGAAAAAAAGAATCAACGCTACCGTTTTCATAATGCGTTAAATATCGTCGTACAATAAGCGTGACGATACGCCCAATAAAACGGTATGAATTGAGGCGGTCAGTTTTCCGAACGCCGACGCCATATTGAATTTTCTGCAATTTGGTAAAGCGACCTCTCGCCCTTGTATTTATAATTACCACTACTAGGGATGTCTACGAATGTCTTAAAAAGATCTGAGAATTTCGTTTCGAATTAATGTTCTTATGGTATATCAATGGGGTAAGAGGTATTGCATGTTGTATTTTAAACCTAATGGGGTAATGCGTTTAAACGGCTCATTGACCCCGCCGCCATTTTGAATTCCCACCGTAGCTGATGCCCAAGCTTGGGAGACGCGCCGGCCAAAGCAACACCCAGGACGATTTTAAATCCGACGATGACCTCCTAGACAGTCCTTTGTCTCTCTCGGACAAATCCTCCAGGACGACCGGTCCGGTAGCGCCACCTCGCACCAGGAAAACCGGATGGGGTGATGAACTCAAAAGCGGCAAGTACGTCCTGCGTCCTCTTTCATTGCGCATCAGGAGTCGATCATGTAATGGCTCGTTTAATTGACTTGTTGATTGCAGAATGAAGATCACGTCGAACATCATCGAGCAGTGAGTATGACGCGCACAGTATGTCAAGAGACGCCTGTAGCCACTAATAGACTTTTCCTTAGGGAGCGCTCCAGGGCGGTCGAGAAGGACGAGCCGGAGGACGGTAAGGACGATCATCCTTGAGGTATACCAATTTAAATTAATATCTACCCGTTAAAATATACCCCGTGTATCCTTTTAGAGATTCCCGTTATACCGGACTTGGATGAAATTCAGGAAGACAATGTTCTAACGCATTCCGTTAATGCTCCCTCGTAAGTGCTGGAAAATTAGCATGTCGGGTGAAAGATGTTTATATTTTTTATTATTTAGGGTCGGGGTGAATCGCGTCGCAGCTTATAAAGAGTTGGACACGGAGCTTCTTAGAAGTACCGCCCTTGCATCTTTGGACGACGTGAATCTCTCGCTTCTTGCTGAAAAATTATATCCGGACAAGTTGGTCAGGGAGCCGGACGACATTTGGAGCTGGGACTTACTCTTCACGCAGATCGCCTCCGAAATCAACGGGGAAACCGAAAAGAAAACCGAATTATGATAGATTTAGGGCCTTCCTTCGTTTGTAAATATTTTTACCACTTCCGACGGGTCTCACAATTTCAATGTATGTAGAAATAAATCGGGAAAATGTGGCTGGGCATTTTACGCGTTACGTTATTTGAGTATATTGAGAGATTGTTAAGAAAAATGTAAAATGTCCAGGCATACAGTTTTAACCAATTGATTTGTGATATGGTTGGATAGAATCGCAAAAAACATGGCATACTGCTTCCGCAGTGCCTGTATATGGAAGCGACAAATTACCTCGTCTGACCTATTCGATTGCCCCCCAATTTGGAAATCGCGGTAGTTCGAGGAGCGACGTGAAGGACCTCAACCGTGCAGGCGTGCAGACCCGTGCTGATAAAAACCACCACGGAGTGCAGCGCATCGGGAGTCAACACAAGCTACTTGAAGCGACCACGTGACAACACCCACTGAGCAGATCTGCCATATATCTACGTTAGCGATCAATGTTCAGCTGTGCCATCACTAGCACACACTTCCAGAAGTTCGTTTTCCGTCATCAGTATATAAACGAACTGCATCGCGATGTACCACTAGCGAGAAAGTGTCGCTCCATTTAGAATTAAATTTCCATATTCATTGACCAAACTACATGAATATTCTTGCACCAAAAATTGAACTAGCGTGACATCATTAACTAGAGTCACTTTCTGGCTGAAATTTGTTCATGTAAATCGAGTATTTATTTAAAATTGATGTAACGATAGAATTCGAGAGTAGCCTTGCATTCCTCTGTAGGGATGGAGAGGAAGCCTCTACGTAACTTGACGTGACGTTCGGTTGGTAATGTAGATTTAAATGGAAGGTAAGTTCGAGGGGTTTGAAGGGTACGGCAGGAATTTTCAGTATCGTCTTCGGTTGAAGGAGGAAAGTGCAGTTGAGTTGCAGGGTTTATCGTAGGTGACGGAAGGATATGCATCAGCTTCGGGAAATCGACGCGCGGAACGCTGCTCGGTGAACGATTGTAGAATTTTCTCGATTTCAGTTTAGAACCAATCGAAATTAAGCGAGTGAAGTTTTCTTACGGACGTATTTAATCATATTTGATTTCGGAACGCGATATACGTCGTGAGTGAACAAAGGGGATTTTCATGTGGCAAAATGACCTGTTAGATTGTCATTTTGACATTAGGGATAATAGCAGGTAAAAGCGATAGAAAGATTCAATTATTATGAGTGAACATGACATTCCAATCGTCGATCCGACTATCGATTACACTCAGGTTAGTTAGTAACAATTGATTTTTTAAACTGGTAAATCCCTGTTTCAGTTATTCGGTGTTAATCCGTAGATTCTAATTTTTCTGTATTTTGGTGTAATCTGTCAGGCGATGTTTTTTTATTTGTAGAGAACAGGTATTATAAACAGATTTACGTTGGGCTTCTCATAGTATTTATTAATATATATGGTGGTATATATGATACAAGTCATGTTTTTGTAGGTTCCGCCAATTCACCAAAAGAGAACTATAACGTTCATCAATCAATTCATTATTCACACGGTAACTTTTCTTAACAAGTTTGCATTGTCCTGCGAAGAGAAACTTTTCGAATTTGAGAACAAGCTACAGAGGGTGGAAGCTTCGCTGGAGATTCTTGAATCACAGGTTAATATTCCGAGGCATGTGGTGATGATTTGTTTCAATTTCATTGAATTCATTGACGTATGATTTAATACCATGTTTGAACGGTCGCAGCTTTCGTCGATTCCAGGTCTACAAAATGAATCACAAAGTTCCATGCATTTATCAAATCCAACAAACCTTGATGAGAAAATTGAACAAGAAACTGAAGCAACGAAACAGATAGTTTCAAATAATGTCGACGAGACTGATAAAAATGAGCCTATTGAGCCACCACTTGAAGAAAAGTCAGAGGATATCAAGATGCAACCTGTGTGCGAGGATCCGCTGTACAAGAAGTACTTTAAGTTCATTAGTATTGGCGTACCCAAACCAGCTGTCAAATTGAAAATGCAACAGGATGGATTGGATCCATCATTGCTAGAGTAAGTTCTTGCACATATTAAAATTTCAAATCTCATTATAATACCTTATGAAAATTTAATATTTTAAAGTTTCTACAAAAAGAAAAGTAACTAGTCATTTAAAGTATATGATGGTTAATATCGCATTGACATTTAATACACTTTGTTAAACTAATTCCAATAATTGTTAGAAGTGCTCGGTTAACAAAATGATTTTACTAACATAACATTGACAGCACACCAAAGCTCTTAGTGCCAGTAAAGTCAGGAGCTACGGACGATTGATGAACTGGAACAGTAACGGTGCGTATTGCAAGGATTACAATGCATTGTATGTATTTTTACATTATATGATAGAAGTGGGATAAGCGAATAAACAGATTTATACATTTTTAAAGATTTATTTATGTTAAATACACACTTAATGTACGATTCGAACAAACACTTAGAACTGGATCATCTGGCCCTATGAACAAAAAATAATGGATTTCATATGGATAACATATAAAATAGGAAAATTGTAGTATGAAAAAAATAAAGAGAGTCTGTGAAATACCTTTCGCTTCTTGTCTCCACCCAATTCGAAATGCTTGCACCGCTTTAGCGGGATTTGTTTTCGGTACTTGCACTCGGTGCATTCCATCCTTAGTACAATTTTCTTGGTTGTTTTTGCCTGAGATAAAAAAAATTAACATTGAATTTTTATAAATGTTAGTCTTAAATCGCTACTTAATATGTCATCTGATTTATAAATTGCAATCTCATCCAATATAATGTAAACAAAAAATATTATACAATGAATCAAATGAATGAAATTTGTTTACACAACTTATCTGGCAAAATACAATTTCCTGTCAACTAGAAACAACCTTTTGACGTTAGGCTACATACCTTTTTCCTGAAAATAGGTTTCGTCTGGCCACCGAAACCTTGCTGCTTACGGTCGTAACGCCTACGACCCTGAGAGGCATGCCTTTCCTTGCTTTTCTTGTACTGAGTTACCTTGTGCGGTTTGTGTACCTTACACTTCTTGCAGAAGGTGCGCCTCTGCTTTGGTACGTTTACCTGCACAACCAAAAATTGAATAACGATTTAGATCATATCCTCCAATCTTCAATTTATAGTCTTAGTACTATAATTTCACTTGTTTCTACTGTCAATTACATTTCCGTTACATAAAATTAATTGCACAGCTTAAAAATAATAAATATCCCCACATAAGCAGGGTCTCGATTGAGGTTATGTTTATGGTCTGTCACGACCCGCGATCTAAAGTCAGCAAACTCGGAAAATATTAAACAAGATCTCTCCGAAATACTCTCCCGTTCTCGAAATTCAATAAAATAAAAATTCCCAGGGCAGGATTCCACGAATATAATCAGATTAAATGTGCATTTCGAGAATAACGGAGATACCCACCATCTTCGATGTTTTCAGAAAGAGAAGGAAACGCACTTGGCCGGAAATGGCGGTCGAGAGGCTGATGCGCGTGCGCGAGGCACTTCACGCGTATTTCTCGAGATCCCCAATAGTTTTCGACAATTTACCGCAATTTAAAAAACCTGACCAGACTATCATCCTAAAACGTAAAAAAGCTTCGATCCTGGGGAACGTAAAATACATAGATCATTCCAAAATTAGCTGAATTTCGTCGAATCCTCTTAGCGTCCTCGTCTACTCCCGTAGAGCCGGCATTACGTTTAACGATAATAACAATAACGCAGTTACTCAAAAGAAGTAACGAAAAGCAGCTGAATTTCGTGAAATGGAGACACAGAAGGTGTAACAATTATATTCGGGGATATTACAAATCTAATCGACACTAATATTGTGTAATGGGGAGGAAAGAATAGCGCACACATCGTTCCATCGATTAATCAGTAAATCCGGGAAATGGCGTCACTTACTCCGCATTACTGGAAAATCATTTTTCCGATTTTTTTTTTTCATTTCAGGCATCGAGAGAAGGCAGGTGCCTCGGCTCAGTTTATCGAGATACGGATAGTACCGTTGCGAGGTACTATCCGTGACGCCTCGAGAAGCCCTAAATTAAGGCCGTCAAAGTACCGACGTTCGCACGGATTCGGTCATAATTGAAATACGATTGCACTCGATATTTGCGCTGCCCCTGAAAGAAAAAAAAGGAGAGGAAGGGAGCATCAATTACGTAATTACGTAAACCAGATGTTATTCGCTGCATAATGACGTCACGTCGCACGTATCAATTGAATTACCTCTGGAGTCGTTCCACGTTAGTCGAGGCTCGATCGCGCGAAATAACATTCTAAAATGGCGGGCGGGAAGTTTTTATTCACACTTCATGCAAAACTCGCAGTAAGACATTTTTTAATTCAAGGAAACACGAGAGTTCATAGTCGAGCCCTCACGATGGAAAACGGGCTTGAATACGTGACGCCAGGCGGTCGTAGTAGACGGGCCAATGGCGAGGCCGCATTCCGCTGTAGCCGTCGCGCGGTAGGACCTTTCCGTTGGAGCCGAGGGTTCGCGGCCACCATCGATACTCGGGAAGCGGAAACATCAAGGCCGTCGATATGGCCCCTGAAGTGCGGTAGTTTTCCATAAACCTAACCTCAACTTAACCTCATTCCCGCTATTATAAAAATGGAGAAAGAAAGAAAAAAAAAGAAATAGATTTGAGTCACATAGAATCGCGTTCGAAGGCAGAGTCAGTATTTTGTCGCGCGGTTTCGAAGACGCCGGATTACCGGCTTGGAACGAACTTTCAAAAGCCTAATCTGCAGGAAAAGTCGAAGAATTCGTTCGAGACGGGTCGTTCGATCAACGTGGCATCCTCGCCGCGATATCTATCGATTCGCGCTTGTCGCAGGGTGTCCAAAACGAGCCGCAGGTTCGCAGCGCCAAAGCTTATTTGAATCGCGTCGGCTTAGCCTCGAACCGGACGGCCATGTTGGTCCGCGTACTCTCGAACCCCTCGTCCGCGGTACAAACGAATTCGACATAGACGGAGGGCTAGCCGGTTGCGCGGGGAACGGGTGGTAGAATTCCCTCAGGAATTCGGGGTAATTTCCGCGATACCTCGTCGCGCAAAGGGAGGACCAGGAGGGCTTAGAGGGCATGGGCCAATCAGGGATTTATCGGGTTTCAAACGGGCGCCATGTTGATTTTTGAACAAAGCCAGGTCGGCCGAGTCGTGCGCGGGTAGTCCTCCGGCAGCGCTATTCGCGCCACGATCCACGCTCGAGCACGCCGCTATCCGTAGCTCCGCTCTGACTGGTTCGCCGCGCCCCCCTCCCCTCCGCCGGTCTCGCCCGTCGTCCCTCTGCGTCGCTCCAGTGGGGTGCGCGCGAAGCGGTCTCTCTCTCGCGCGCCGCCATTGCCGCCGCCGCGGTCCACCCCCTCCCCTGCGCCCGCGGGTCGCGCCTGACGACGCTCCGCTCTCTCGGGCATTTCGCCGGAAGCCGACGCCGCGCGAGGACGCACGCAGCCGTCCTGCTGTATCCCGTAGGTGTGAGAGCCACACACGCACCCGAGGACCCGAGTCGCGCATCCACCCGCGACCAGCCACGGTGAGAGAGAGAAAGAGAGAGGAGGAGGAGGAGAGGCGGAGGAGAGAGACCGACCGACCGAGTGAGGCCAGTTAGTTTACCCACGGCAGCATGAGCACCAAGGAAAACAACGAGGTCGCCGTCGAGAAGGCGACGGAGAACGACAAGCCGGCCGCAGACGCCAAGTGCGAGATCAAGGGGATCAAGAGGCCATCGGAGGTGAGTTTGACTTCTCTTCCCTCCCGCGCCGCGTCTTAGCATCGTCCCTCTCGCTCCCTCCCACGGAGCGCCACCTCGCGCCGTCTCTATCTTCCTCCGCGGCGGAGCGTACGGCCGGAATTCCGGCCGATTCTCGCGGTGTTTCGCCATTCTCAAGAGGCCGGTCGGTACGGTAGGACCCGATCGGCGCCCCGCGTGGGTTTTCACGTGCGTCGCCGTTCGAATTGGTTCGCGCCTAAAGGCGAATTACGTGTCGCCGGCCGAGCGAGAGCGATAGCGCGGGAAGGGTCGGCCGGCCCGCGCGAGAGAGACGCTCCGACGGGCCGGGATGGTGGCGCGAGGGAAACGGAGCGAGATACGCCGGCCGGCGTTTCGCCACCGGCGTGGGGTGGCCTCCATATTTCCATGGCGTAGGTAGGCAGACGCTCGCGCGCGCGCGCGTGTCGCACCTGACTCGCTTTTCCAAGCTGAGCCTCCCGCTCTGGGAAATTAATGGCCTCTCCCTTGGCCGACCTCAATTGGCTCTGAACTCCGATACCGAGAAGGAAGTCGAGAAACGCTCTCGGAGCACGGGAGAACGGGAATCAATGCGAAGGTTTACCGCGTTTGCGGAGGTTCCCGGTATCGCGGGTAACGTTGGACCTTGTTGCGTGACGCACTCGTCGGGAAAATAGGGACGCGGAAAATCGCGCCGCCATGTGCTCCGCGGCGTCGCGTCCGTGCTCGCGCGCGCCTCGGCTCGTCGAGAGGCCGCCTCATTCAGTGCCCCCACTCCTCTTGCCGGGAGACCAGACGGTCTCCCTCGCACTCACGGGGCGGGGGATGCCATGGCGACGACCCAGTGCGTGGAACGCGCGGGGGCTCGCGCAGCCCTCCTCGGCCCCCCCTGCCCCGTCGGAGCGATTCTTCGGGCAACCTTATGACATGTACCCCGCCGTTCTTGGGTTACGCGACGATTCTCGAAGGGCGCCGAGCGAAACTTCGCTGGGTAAGGAAGGGCGCGCGCGGGGTCGATAATCGGATCGCCCTTTGACATAGAACGCAACGGGGACATGCATGGGTGATCCCGAAAGTGCCGTTGCCGAACCTCGCTCGGCTTATCGCTCGTTACCGCGGCGAAAGCTCTCAGGTTCATAAATCGTCTGGACAGCCGGACGCGGTATTCGGGACGTCCTATCGCGACCGACTTTCCGGCGTCGCGGCGGCTCTGGATCATTCTCGAAAGAACGTCCGCGGAGGACAAACTCCTCAAGAGTTTACGCGATCAAGTTGCTAATTGACGTACGTCCGTTGGTCTCGCCAGAGGCGCGAATTCCGGAGAGGGGTTTCGTCAGGAAAGGCGCGAAGCGACCCCGCGCCGCCATTTTCCTATCTTTCCGCTGTCACCTCGCGGGCTTTTCGGTGTACTCGGTGGAGGGGGGGGGGGGGCGACGGCGTCCTCCCGCGCAGTTTTCCACTCGGGAAGCGACGCTCGGCCAAGATGGCGGCCGCGGCGGAGCGCTCCCATTGGTCGCTGGCCCCGAGGTCTCGACCAATCGCGGCATGCCTCGGCGATCGATGGCCGATTGTTACGCGCGCCATGGCACGCTGCCTTCGAGCTTGTTTACAGGCCTGCGTGCATAAACACGGGATAGAGGGCGCTCCGGTGCGCTCGATCGGGCTCATATCTTTCTCTCTCTCTCTCTCTCTCTTTCTCTGTCTGGCCAACGCGTCGCGTATAGCGCCCTCCTCGTCTGGCGATCGCCTTTATCGCTCGTATTTATTTATTTCTTTCTCTCTCTCCCTCCCCCTACCTGATGCGTACGGGTTTACAAACCTTCGCGAAAACATCTGGGCGCGATTTTTCCAACGCTTACTTGGACCCCGCGTACGTGCGAACGGGAAGGCCGGATATTTTTAGACGATATTGGAGATCGTTAGCGAGGAAGACGGGGAGAGGAAGGCTACTCGAGGAAATTATCGCGAGGGATATGGGAAACGGAGGCTGCGCGCGCACGACCCGCGGTCACGTGGTACGCTCCGGGAAAGGCCGCCGGAGAGCAGGTTGGAGGTTATGTCGGGCGTGTTTACGGATGAGAGTGAGCTTCACGGCGCGGACTCCGCTCTCTGATTTTGGCTCTTCCCGTCAAGTGCATCCGGAAAACTAGGTCGAGATCTCGCATTGAATTAGTGACAATTCTCGCTTTTTGAATTTTCCCATTTACGTCTTTTCACGTTTACGGATGATCGCAAGAAAGCGTTTAGTTCCGCAATAGCGGGAAGTATCCGTACCGATTTCCTGTACATCTTTTTCCTTTTCTCTCTTTTTTTTTTCCCCATTTTTATCGACGTGTGAATTAGCCGTCGCCGCCGCTGAATTTCGAGATACGCTTGTATCGAGCGCGCGACTTTCGAGGGTCAACTAAAAATCGCTTTATCTTATCGTGTTCCCCCCTTTTCTGGATACGTTCCTTGCGGTCGCTCGGCGAGCCGTAATGGGATAAACGGCGCGAATCCGAGTCTACTTAATCGTATTTCGCCCCGTGCATCGATCGCCTCGAATTCGGTTACGTTGGATCACGGTTAGGTTAGGTTGCCCTCGTGTATCGGGAGCGGCGAGATATCTCGCTCTACGGTCGAAACCTGACGATTCTCGCGGCGCGACGTCGCGATCCTCGGTTTTGAGATTTCTAGGTTACGATAACCTGAATGCGTGTGTATGCGAGAACTTGATCGGCGTAATTTGGCACGTTCTACCGGCGAGTCTCCTCTCCAGGTTTATTTCAGTTTATTTCAGTTTATTTCAGTTTATTTCAGTTTATTTCAGTTTATTTCAGTTTATTTCAGTTTATTTCAGTTTATTTCTACTTTCCTCCCCGCTGGATCGAGGGAACCCAATGCGGCGGGTCGTGGCGAAAATTGAGGGGCGGTAATTCGATTTTCCCCGAACCCGGCCTCGCGCGACAGCCGTCAGGCGGCGCAACGGCGCGGGAATTTCAAACGGGCCCACGAGTTCGAACGAGTTCGTCCTAGTTTTCGTCAAGAATGCTCGTTACCGCCGAGAGAATGAATATCTCGAAATAAATTACAAGATCCTACGAGTCTCTTAATGATAATTATTTAGAGTACAGGCAATCCCAATCCCTGCTCAGTTAATTGATTCCCGAATGGAAAATCCACGTTCGCTGCGCACGGTTTAGAGGGAAAAACCCGGTCCAAATAATTCATTAAAATAGGAATTCGTGTCGTCGAACGCTCGAGAAGCGAGAACTTTTCTGTAGTATCGTTTTGAGGAATCCGGTGATAACACCGAGGTCGTGGTTACCGATCGAGCGGAGCCCGCCGTGGCGAGCGTTACCAACCGAGTCGTCTCGCGGCCGCCATCTTGTTTTCCCCCATTTTTTTTCCACTCCTTTTCCCCTGCGCGGATAAACTCTCCATCCGTTATTCTAGCTGACACGTAGCATTCTCTCTTTATCGTAATTCTGCCTGCCCAGCGGCTTCCTCGTCGCCTTAACTTTCCGTCCATTACGAGGTTTCGCAAATATATCATAAAAACACGGTAAATATCGAGGGTAAGACCCTTTGCGCTCCGACCGTTCCTACGCTACGGGTTTAACGGTTTCCACGTGACGTGTACTCAGAGTGCAAAGGGCTTAAGCCTTGCTTGAGAACGAGATCGTACGATTGAGGGGTTTTTTTTCCATGCAGAGGTTATGTCGCTGGTCGTTTTATATCCGTAAACCAGTCTGTCGTCACGGCGGAACGACGTAATACGGGGTAACGGTCGCGCATGCGCGAGGCGTTGCCGGGTCGCGCGGTCACGTGACTGGTATTACTTAACGCAACTGACTCGCACATAACCTAGATAACCGTTTCTATCTTTTTTTTGGTCTCCATTTCATTGTTTCACCCGGTTGTCGAGACGTTCCGGTGCGGGAAGAATCTCTCCCGGTTTCGGTCTCTTATCGGGAATCGATTACGGCGAGTCGATTCAGCGATTGTCGTCGAAAAATCGACCGGCGTGCTCTCGTTCTTCCCGCGAGACGCGTCTCTATGTTGCGGCCAATTTACGGCACCGGATACATTCCAGAATAGCCGGTGCGCGCTGGGTGACAATTTTTATCGAGCCCAAATGTAAATAAGGTTATAAACACACCGCCTCGAGGTGTAGGAATTTCAGTACGAAAGAACCTGAGCGCGTCTCGGCCATCTTGCTTCTCGAGAGAGCGGCACAAGGGGGAGGCGGGACGGTCGAAGCGATAGGTAGGACGTTGGGTTATCTGTCTTGATAGAGCAGTAATCTCCGACTCGCCTCGAATGTCACGAGGGTGTGCCCCACTTGCGTTTATGTCATGATTACCGTTTAGCACAGCGCTAAGAAACGGGAGGATTTTTCATTCCTATTTTTTTTTTATCCTTTTTATACCGTTTCTCACGCCGTATCGCCCGCGTCGTCGGGCACGCCGGGAAATTCGAACGCCGCCATGTTTGCCGCGCCGCTCGACGCTGGCGCCACCTGTGCGCTCCGAGACATACCTCGTGGCCGCCGGGCGAACCGAGAACGAAACCACTTTGAAGAGAGCGACTAGGGTTCTAAACACCGTTTACATCAGGAACGATGAGAAATTCCCGATAACTTATCGGTAATTTCTCCAAAGCTCCTTTTTTCCTTATTTTTATGAGAATTTCAATCTTTGCGACGGAGCGAACGAGAGTTTCCAATTGGCTGCAAAGAAACGACCGAAGTGGGGAAACTTTTCCATCACGCGGAATCGCACATGAAAAGTTATACGTAAATATTTTCAGCTGGAGGTAAAATAAGGACTCCATAGTTCATATATATATTTTTTTTTAAATAATATTACTCTTTAGCTCGAACTTCAAAGTGCATTGAAAAGAAATGTTAATTGAAGAGACCTAAAATATATATTAATAGAAGGAAAATTAGCGGTCACATAAATGCTCGATGTTCTCGGTAACTTACGGTACGCTTCACCGTCTACAATTTTACGTTACCGTGGATTTTCTAACTCTAAGGGCGAGTGGTTCAGGAAAATGCCAAACCAGGATTGGCTTCCCCCCCCTTGTTCCGCGATACGATTTATTTAGCCTCTTTGATCGGTTTATCGGCCACCGGTGGGCCACTTGTAGACACAATACCGGGTTTTTATCGCCAATCCGATAGCGGGGAGGGCATTCCACGGCGAGCCTTTGGCGAAGGTCGTTTACACCTCCCGGGAGTGGACAGTCGGTAAGGGAACTCACCTTTCTCGCGAATCCTGACAATACCTTCCTCGAAGTAGTTCGCTTAGTTCTCCATTTCTTTTTTCTTTTTCCCCTTTTTTTTTCCCCCAGGCCCAGGGGGCATTGATTCCCCTCGAGTGGCTTCCAGACATTTTGCGTTAAGACTGGAAGCCCCTGAGGAAAATCGACGCGGCACTGGGTGTGTGTGTGTGCGTATATATATATGTATGTATATATATATACTGGGTATACATGCATATATGTCATACCCAGATCGGAATCCCTCCGCCGAAACGTTCCCCTCCTTTCCGCGCCCCCTCCACGGAAAATCGCCGTACTAGATGCGTTTTTTTTCTCCTTGTTTTTCTGACACATGTGGAATAATCGTTAGAGAGGACAATCGTCAAGTGGAGGCGCCTGGGACTGTGAAACAATGTCCGATGCCGGCGATACGTCGACGCCGTCTCTGTACACATACGGTAATGGCTTATGAAACGCGAGCGCGAAACCAGGCCTCGGTTGACGATTATTCAACAATGTTCTGTATTTTTTTTCCCTTTCCTTTTCTTTTTTACCCTCCATGAGCGATACGCGTTCATGCGCGGTCGACCTTAAAGGCCGGCTCGCTACCGGGGAAAAATGACGGATTGATTAAATGGCCGTCCATTAGGTTTATCGTTTCAAGGAACGCCGTGAACGTAGACCACGCTGGCGTCGATATACCGGAGCGTCGGCGTCGTTATAAATTGTAACGATTTTTTAATACATTTGTTACCGTAACGATTGTTAGTACGTCGCCGCCGGTTAAAAGTGTCTCGGCTTTAATATCTGGAGATATCTGTTAACAGACGTGACTCGGTACTGGTATAATGGTGATGGAACATTTTTCCTTTTTTTTTTTTCCTCAAGAGTATTTGCTAAATGCCTAATGTCACGCGTTCGATATCTGAAGATTTATCGTTTAAGAAGGATTTCTTCTTATTTATTTGGATTTGTCGTTTAAGAGAATCTTTTCTTTTCCTCCTTTTGTCTTTCTTCAAGAACCGTTGCTAAATGGCTAATGTCACGGTCGCTTTTCGACTTGCAGGACAAGACCGAGGATGCGAAGAAGCAGAAGAAGGAGGAGAACGGTGACGGAGAGGTAGAGGAGGAGGACGTGGAGGAGGAGATCGAGGGGGAGGAGGAGGAAGTGGACGGAGACGGCTTGGAGTCCGACGAGGAGCCCGACATGGTGGGAGGCGAGGTCGACTTCGAGGATTGCGAAGGTAAGTCTAGCCTCGCCGTAAGATCGGGGCCGAGCGGCCTCGCGTTACGACGTTAGAATTTCTCGCTCAAAGCTTCTCTATCCTGGTCGAAAACGGAGTAGAAAAGTCCTTTACGATTCTTCTCTGCGACGCGTACTTCGTCCGTAACCGGACGAACAAGCCCGGTCGGTCGCGTCACACCGAGTGCGGCGCGACCCCGCGGCATCGGCTATTCCGCGGTTAAGGGGGTGCGAAAGTGGCATCGGAAGAAAGCCTTTCTCCTAACTGGGTGTACCGAATCCCTTCGAACTTCACAACGCAAATACAGAGGCTGCGAGGAAGGTCCCGATGCCCCATGAAGTTCTCAATATTTATACAAAAGAAAAATAATTTGTTAAGTGCCTGTAAAGAAATTTCAAAAGTATATATATATTGAGATTTCACAGATGTCAGGACCTTCCTGAAGGCCTTTACGTTGACGTTGTAAATTTGGAGACGATTCGGTGCACCCATTTCGGAGAAAGAGTTTCATAAACGAGAGAGATCACTTTGACGTAGCCCTTAATTATCACCGGCAAACGAAGGATCGTAGAGAAAAGGTTATATACCCGACATTCTCGACTGCGTTTCGACGAAGGAAAGGCGCGATAAAAAAAAAGCCGTGGTCGCAACGCGCTCGCCCGACCTCGGCCGACGTGAGCGCCTCGTGGGCGTTTTCGTTACTAACGGTCTCGTTGTTGTTCCACAGAAGAGGAGGAGGACGACGCGGACGGGGACGGGGACGGCGACGTGGACGAGGAAGAGGAGGACGCATAATGAAAGAAGGTCGCGAGCGTTATATGTAAGTAAGAAGGGAGGTAGGCAGATGGCGCCATCGTCGACCTCGCCGGCCAGTCGGCGGTTCTTCGTAGCGGACGACACTTGCTCTCATATTGAGTGGTTGGTAGCGACGCCGGCGGCCGGCGCGCCCTTCTCCGAGGAGCTGGAGCGAGCGAGCGAGGTCGAGGGATGGAAGATAATGAGAAAGAAGAAGAGGAGAAAGAACGACAGCTCTCTCGGCTCCTCGCGACACTCCGGCCCGCGGGCGCCATCTCGCCCCCGAAGAAGAGACACCTGGACGCGCGTTCGCGCGGCGCCTCCGAGCACCGCCTCTCCCTCCACCCCTCGAGCCGTCACCAAAAATACGAGCCGCCGGGTCTTCCCCCCGGAAATTGCGCGCCGGCGTCTCTCGGGGGGAGGGACCGAGGGCGCATGCGCGCCGCCTCGCGACATCTTCCTCCCACGGCAGCGAGTCCCGCTCTCTTCGCCAGGCAGAGACCCCGCCCCGCCGCACACCCCTGCCCCCACCGCCCGGAAAATCAATATACCAATATATACATACATACATATATACACGATACGTGCCTGCCTATGCACGTATACATACCTATATATGTGTGCACGTATACATATATGCGTGTATCCACAAACTCGCGCGCGCGCGCACGCGTACATGTATATAGCATTCGCGTCGCGCACCGCGGGGGACAGTTTTATATTAACGAGAAACTTATTTAAGAGAGGAAAACCGGAAGAAAGGAAGAAAAAAAATAACAGAGAAACAAGAGAGATGCGCTGCGATTATAAGGATATGAGATAAACGAGACGATGACAGAAAAAAGCTCTATTGTATTTAAAATAGTGTTTAAAAATGGACGTGTGTTTTGCGGGCGAGAGTTCTAGGTTACACACTTTTTCTCTTCATTCATCTCCGTTTTTGTCGCCGAGAGAGACGCAGGGACGGACAAGAGGACGAGCGCGTACGCGCTGACTGACCGACACACACTCATACATACACGTAGGACGCGAAATTTCCGTTCCCTCGACGGCGGATGCCTCTCACCGACGACGCGCATGCGCGGCCGCGAGTCTGCCGCCTTCGACTCGAGGCGGTGCGGCGCGCTCCTGATGACGCTATGCGCCGAGCCGTGTGTCGCGTCGCGTAAGGTCTCGATGACGCGTCGCGTGAGGTCTTGATGATGCGTCGCGTCGAAATGTCGGGACGGCGCGAGGGGATCCTTCCGGCTTATATACGTAACACCTCGTACACTGGCGGACGCGAGTGCCTTCCCTTGCGAATATGGCGCCGCCAGTGTGCTACGGGGAAGCCATTCGCGTCCCCCCACGGTGTAGGTTAACTCGGAAAGAGAGGGCGCCGAGCGTCGAGGCTGCGCGCGGTATAACGATCCGAAGCGACGCCAGCGCCGCCAGTCGACGCCAGGGGAGGGAGTCACGCGTGACGTTTCTCAACCGCTGCTGCATGATGACTATACATAGCCTGTATAAAGTTTATGGACTAAGGAACACTTTTTTATTATTATTAACGGTAACTCAACTGTGTACACGTAACGCGTAAGGTGGAGATTGTTACGTACTTTAGGCACGGACGCGTAGAGTAGGGAGTGAGAGAGAAAAAGAGAGCGAGTGAGTGAGCGCAGGGGGAGGGGGTCTGCGCCGGCGTGCCGTGACGCCAGGCGCAGTGGCGTCGCTTCCAGAAGTCTCTCTCGTATATCCACGGGACGCGACTGCAGCTGGGCCGACGGAGGACCGGGTTAGGCGGCCGCGAGGCTAGATTTTTCACCTCTCGACACAATTTAGGCCGCGCATACCCGTTAGGCGGGTAAGGCCGATATTTCGTGAGCGCAACGAACGACGGATGTGTTCGTTGTTTCGTCGTCGTCAACCGTTTCCTTTTTTTTTTAATCTCAAGGAAGTAATCGTGCTGGAATAGATTTTTTTTTAATTCAAGCTCGATTAAGAGCGAAGATGGGGAGGCATTGCGAAGGGGGGCGCGGTTATGGTTTTTTTACATTTTCTTTTTCTTATTTTTATAGGGTCGCCTAGGTTATCGGAAATACGTAAGGTCGCGCAGCTCGTCGGCGGGTCGGTTCAGTGGGTGAGGTGGGTATTAATGGAAACTGTAGGATGACGCGCGTAAGCCCCGTCGATCGCCCAATCTCGGTTACGGCTCACTCGGGCGCGGAAAATTTGAATTGGGCGCCGGAGTACCAACGCGGGAAATTCAAATCGCGCGGCGGCACGAAGTCGGGCCAAGTGCAGACGGCGCGCGTGCGCGAGAGAACGTCCACGGTATCTCTGTACAATGCGGATTGTCTCCGAGAGCAAGGAATTACCCGGAGACGCCCTCGTTACCGCGAGGGCGAGCGATCCACCATCGACGCGAACCGACGCGGACAGAGAGAGCGACTAAATACGAGGGGCGCAGCCGATCTTTCGAAAGAAAAAACAAAAAGAAAAGGAAAAAAAAATAACCCTCAGATCCTCGTCAATTGTACATTTAACCGCGAATGACTTCCACCTTGGGACGACCAGGGCGTGGGGATCTCCTCGACCGATGGAACCGCGCGACGATCTTACCTGAGAGCGCAGGCGCGAGCGAAAGTCTCCGCCTCTCGAATGCGCGCGTGCTCCCGGCGGCAGCCGCTCGCGGACTGAGGCAGTGGCGCCACCTCGCGGGTGGCGGTCGACCTCGCTAGCCGGCCGCGCACGCGCGCCGCGGCGCGCCACTTTTCCTGTTTCCGTGAGCATTTTTGCGTCACGGTTGCGCGATCTTATTTTTTACTCTTGACTCATCGCCGCGGACCGACGACGAGCGCCGGCCCTCCTTCCACTCGCCAAAAAGGAACGCTTCCATTTATCTTCCTTCCCCTCGATTCTTTCTAGAACGTACCGCGCCCTGGTTCCCGTTAAGGGAAACGAAATGATCCCCAATGGCCGCTGGGTCGAGTCGGTCTTACCTAGAAAGCTAAGTTTTCTTCCGTTTCGGGCAACGATCCGCTTCCAGGGTCAATCCATCCTGAAATCCCTGATATGTCATGGTTTTCTAATCATCTGGTGGCCCTGGATTCTTTGGGCCATTTTCTATTTTAAACTCGGCTCTATGCGCGCCATTTGGTGGTCCGCTATCTCGTGTTTTTATTCAATCGAAGGTTGCTAACTTGGGGGTGCAGAATTCGTATATGACCCGATTCTCGAGTTCGTACGTGAAATCGACCGTCTCGAATCGACTTTCAAACCTATTAGACGATGTTCGCAACTTCGCAGGAATGCGAAACATTTCACGCGATACTTTTCATGCGAAACTTTTCATACGACACTTTTCATGCGAATCTATTCGTATGCGAAAAAATCCGCGTGAACTGGGGAATCGGGTTCATGAGTGCTGGTGTTAGGCTCGATATCGGGCCAAAATCCGGCATAGATAGAAATAGACAGAGAATACAGAATTCATATAGAGGGGCGAGGGTCGTCGCGATCTGTCGGTCCTTCGTCGTGACTTTTTACACCCTTCCCTGGGGAGAGAGACTCGCTAAGCAGCGGATTCTTAATCGGAAAAACAAGTTAACGGTGACGAGACATTGCGGTTACGATACCACTGTACCATAGCTGCATAATAATTAAATAAAGGTAACGATAATTTGGATGGCGAGATACGATGGTCCCACGTTTTAATGTACAAATATTTTCGAAAGAGTTGTGCGTTAGTTAAGTAAAGAGCGCGGTTAGAGCCGAAGAGAGAAAGAGAGAGAGTGTCCGAGAGATTGAGAGAGTGTTCGACTGCCTGACCGACCGAGAGAGAGAGAGAATTAAGTAAAAGTGTAGTTCAGTATCGTGAGTAGCGATGGGTATGAAAAATCTGATATTTAGAGTCGGAGCGGTTATTCACGCCCCGCAGGATTTCTTTTAATGTTTTAATATCTCCAAGAGAAGAAATACGAACATGTCTCGAGGAGAATATCAGAACTCGAGTGGGATGGACCTTTTTGGCGTAACAATAAAATGAGATAACACTTCGATAAACACAACGAGCTCATTTCGAGTTGACCTCCTCGTACCGATTCGAATACCCGAAAGTTCGATAACGAGCTCCTATTGTTCTTCGAATTTTCTATTAGAATTATCCTAGATGTAAGGGCCGAGCGATTGGAATTTAACGTAGCCGAATATTTCATCGATCTCGAGGTCCTTATTTGCTTTTCCTTCCATGCGAGTGAGACGGAGAACGCGGAAAAGCGAGTTCTCTGGATTCGCCGAAAGAAAGAAAGGAAAGAAATAGATAATAGAAGAGAAGACGCTTTCCGGCTCTCCTAGGAAGAACGTGGAGACGAGAAAGTAGGATAAGAAGGAGACGGAAATGGAAATTCGGTTTTTCCCACGTTTTGTACAGGATCTTCTATCGCATTCCCGTTCCTTCGATGTCGGTATCTCCCATCGGCCAAAGCTAGATAATCTCTCCGCTCATTCCATCGGATTTGAATCCTTTCATTGTATTTTTAAGTAAAAATACACTCTGGAAAACTTGGAAATCTGCTATTAGACCTTTTCCGTACTGGGAAGCATCTGAAGGACGCAAAAATTCAGATAAAAAGGTGAGTTGAACTTAGGACCTCGTAATTAGCCTCGTGGGAGGAGAGTATCTTATCGCGAGGTTTTGCGCGTTTATTACTTTCCTAATAAATGTGATTTTCTTCCTGGAAAAGGCTGATGCGGGCACTTAGGAATGTTGATATAAAACTGGTCCGATTGAATGCCACTGAGATGATGGAAGGTTTCACGTTCGTCTGGATTTAAGCGTTTATACCGAAGCTTTTTTTGCGAACCGCAAGAATCTGCTAAATTGGCGATAGCTTATCGCGTTTGTATCACTCTTACGGTTTACTGCTTCCTGCAGATACTTTCGATTTGACGGCGAAATCATATGACGAGATGATATAAAAATTCTTTACGAAAGAGAATGCAAAAATAAATCCTCTAGAAGTGCCAATCTAAAGAAAATATTCTATACGCGTCCCAACGTAAAGAGGAAACCCCTCTACAAGTGACAATCTAAAGAAAAAATTCTTCTCGAGTGACAAACGTAAAAAAGAAATCCTTAGCAAGTGACAACATACAGAGGAAATTCTTTACGAGTAACAACGTGATGAAAAAAAATTGTTTAGGTGTGTCAACGTAAAGAGAGGGAATTCTTTGCGAGCGACAACGTGAGGAGGAAATTCTTTACAAATGACACGAAGAGAAGATCCTTACAAGTGACAATGTAAAGGAAAAGTATTTTTTAGAAAAAGGATTACGTGTAAAGAACGGTTCACAGACAGGGCATTTGAAATTAGGTGAATAATTCTTCATAGACGCGCGTCCCCTCGTACGGTACAAACGTGGATATGGTGAGGGTCATGGTAATCCAGGACGAGTTATCGATTGGCTACCGTACCCTACGAGGGGTGTAGTCTCTCCCTAAAACGGACTATGAGCTCTGCCAAACGCTTTTTCAGCGACGATGCCACCGCCAAAGCGGGGGAATAAAGCCTTCCGCTTTTATTGATCCATCTTGCGAACTTTGTCCTCGGCTCTCATGCGGCTAACCCGAGTCTCCCGTCCTTTTGATCTCTCTCGAAATTAACGCGCCCCGACTAAGCGGTGCCCGCCACGTACACAAAGGAGGAAAGAAAAAAAAAAGAAATGACAATTACGACCAGGGTACTCTTCCCGATTTCTCTAATATGGAAATCAAGACGATATAATTACCAGACATAAGTTGGGACATTGCTCACGGACAGGGTCGCGCGATCGCATCCTGTGCTGCCCTCTGATTTCGTACGTTAGCTTTCACCGTTTTTTGCCTCTCATTTGCGGATAAAATAAATAAGGTAAGTGGAGGGTTATGTCAAAGAGGGCGCCACGAGTGTTCTTCCCTTACCATCAAAAACGAGCAGTGTCGGTTAGCGTAGGTAAGCCACTACCGTCAACTGCCGCATGGTATTATCATCACGAGTACGTGAGCCGCCAACGGCGACAGAGATTAGTTGGGAGATTGCTCACGGGCAGGGTCGTGCGATCGCATTCTGTGCTGCCCTCTGGTTTCGTACGTTAGCTTTCACCGTTTTTTGCCCCCAAGGGCGGCGCAACGAATTTCTGATATTGAGCTCGCGCACTCGCGATAACGGTACCATCTACCAGTGACCGTTGGCGGCTCACGTACTCGTGACGGTAATACCATGCGGCAGTTGACGGTGGTGCCTTACCTACGCTTACCGACACTGCTCGCTTTTGATGG